AACCACTTGGCAGAGTGGTGCTGACTTGGCTGTCCTGTCTATCTACCTTCTAGGCATGTTAGCCCGTTGATGACTCCCCGAGTTGGCTGCCTCCGCCGTGATATTTCATGCTCCCCATCCTCAACGCGAGTTTTCCAGGGAACTTCGCTACGGGTCATTTTCGGCTGTAATGTTATTTCTTTTAAATTTATTGTTAATGGAAATTTATGCTCCGCTCAACGGTTGCGGCAACAAGCTGCTTACATGATTGCTTGGGCGGCGGGGCATGTGGCACGTCATGTGGCACGTTTTGCTGATTTGTCATGTTCGCAGGTTAAATGCTAATGCCTTAGTCAGACTTCGATCCGGACTCCCACTTGGCGGCTGGCACTCAATCTGATTCCAAGTACTACTTCTGCCCCCCAAAAAAAAAACCAAAAAACCGAAACTGCTCCAAAGAGATTCCTCCCGAATGTGGGTTAAGTCCATGTCTATGTTGTCTGGAGTTTTTCCCGAAGCGTTTTAGGGTTCTCACGAGTTGGCTTGCCCCATAAAAATGGTGTCAAATAAATTGTAATCAGTGGCCTGCAATAAAAATTCAATAAAAGAAGTTGTAGAAAAGCCAGCCAGCAAGGGCCAAGATATTTCCAAATTCAATTATTCTGAGTTGCAGTCTGAAGTCTGCCGTTTCGCCCACTAGCCAACATTCAGAGGCAACAACTTTATTGGAAATGCCTTTGGCTCTGGGTCTACCTGGGTCTGCCCACCAACCCAGACTGGTCATCTTTTCGTGGAAGCATCTTGGTGTTTAGCGAAAAAAAATCTAGTACTAAGCAAAAGGAAGCTGCGACTTAGACGGAATTTTAGGTACATTGAATCATACTTTGTTCTTAATATTTCAGAAGTTTTCTTTCTTCTTATTCTTCTTTAAGGGAAACATAAGACTGCCTAATGTTAAATTGGTAAAATCAAGTTCTTCCTTTGTCTCTGTCACTCAATTACTCGAGACTTGGGGCCTCCGTCCTTTCATTCCCATTCCAAGACACATTCCCATCTTATCCCATCCGCTCTGAGGAATTGAATGGCCAGCTGCCATGTCTGTCTGTAATTTGGAGTCCATCAGGCCTTTTCAACGCCTCATCTCCGGCGTCCTTAATGCTCTATTAATGCCCTTGCCTTGGTATTTGTTTTATTGGCGGCTTTCCTTCTCCCTCGGCTGGCTCATTCACTTTTTTCTTAAGATCTAAGCCTCGTTTCTTGGCGGAAGTCAAGCTGCCGTTTGTGGGCAGGACGGCTCTTATTTTAATTTCTTGGGGCGCCGCTTGCATTACGCCCACCTTGAGGCTGTTTCTCGGATTACAGAGTCGCAGACTTGGGGGAAAACTGGAGGAGTTTCTACAGCAGAGGAGGAAGAGAAGCAGGAGGAGGAACTTGTAGGCTGGGAGAACAAGAGCCATTGCAGTTGCATTGCCATTCTTAATTGCCTCGGTTAGTGCTTTTCCGCATTTAGTGCCCGAGCCTCATTGTTTCAAATGGTTTTCACTCTCGCAATGGCTAATTAAACCAAATTATCGCATGTCCACGGCTCGAATTACCAAGTAAAGCAACCAGAAATTGTGAATTCGCTGTGGCCATTAGTACGAGATTAAGTAGTTAGAGACAATTATTTAAATTAGTTTTGCCATCTACAAATGGCAATGGTCGCTCGGTCGGCCAAAGATGCCAACTCTGTTCAGTTTCCAGCTTGATCCAAATCCTGGACAGCTAATGGCCTCGTCGGCAAAGCATTTAAGCCGATAATTTCGTGGCATCCTACACATGTTCGACGGTAATAAGAATTTGATTGCCCGGCCCGGGCTAAAATTATGCCAAAGCGAGACCCAAAGCCCGCCAAACTAAACCAAAGCAGTGTGTGAGTGTGTCTTGGGCTAATGCCAGGTTTTTGCTTTCCACCGGCCCCAGAAAGTAGCCCTGCGGGTTTATTAAGCCACCTCGATAAAGAAGACTACGCAGAGCCATACACTTGGATAAAATTTTTACTACAAATATCCAAATATAATCCAATAATCATCTTACTCTCTTTACAAAATGCGTTTTTTATATAATCTCTTTCCTTAATATAAAAAATGCATAAAATTTTCTTGTTTTTTAATGGCAAGAAACTTGATATAAAAATTTTATAAATTTATAGATATAACAATTATGTTAACAATATAATAAACATAATATTTAATTAGAACCGCTAGTCAAGTAAATTTGTCCAATTTTGTAACATTTATTCGAGTGTAATAATGGCTGAAAAACAAAAGACTTAAGCCACAAACTCGCTCTTCATGGCAATTATGTTCGGCAATTGTTTAGTGTTTGCCAGCCGGGACCATCTCGTCAACGTCCGACGACGATGATGATGATAGGGGGCGTGGCCCGGCTAGCCAGTCCAGAATCCAGTCCAGCTCCGATTACTGGACGACATGCTAGCCCACTTTTAACAATATACTCGTACGAGGAATGTGAAAACGGCAGCCTCATAGATATACTTGTACTAACAATTTTGTCTATATTTATATATTTTTTTGTAGGTTCCCACAAGGTGCACTGTTCGGAGGATCAGATGAGGGTAGACATCGGACTGCCGGATGCGGACTCGAAAGATCAGAGTGCACCGCAGATCTACTTGGAGGGACTGAAAGGTTACCCGGATGTACGATGCCAGCCCCAAATCGACGGATCACTGGCCGTTTTTCGGCTCTCCTTGAGTGACTTTTACGAGTGCGGAGTTACGAGGATGGTAAACCAGCTAACGGTAAGCTAAAGGAAATTCGATCGTGCTGAGAGCCAAGTCCGCTAGCTCTAGTTTTTGGTTTATTTCAGGGCAAGAAAGTGTATTACCATAAAATCATCATTGAGTCGGCCAGTAGCAAGGAGATCGTCAGCGTTAAATGCATCACCACCGCTGGTCCCGCCTATAATGTAATGATGAATGCCACCACCGGGTCCAGTTCCACATCCAGCGGCGGCATTCGCGGCCTGGTCAAGCGGGATGTGCTGCCGGCGGGATTCCAGGAACCCGAGTAAGTCCCTCAGCAGGCACGCTCCGGATTTAAGCGCTGGCTCCCCAGCTTTTAATTGCCCATAAATGCAAAATGCATCTATGCACAATTTTATGGGCAATCTATGCAAAAGTTTATGGCATATTAAATGCCCAGTCCGGCCCTGTTTCGTGCCAGGCCAGGCTAAGACCCAACCGAGGGCCATAAATCAAACCTATCCCAGCTCATTGCCTCCCACTCTCTCTTGGTTCTCTTTCTCTCGATTGGCTTTTCCGAGAGTTGCCATTACCAGGAGGTAATTAGCCGCCAAATCGACGCCGGCGGCTTCACATGCGTTAATACCTCCACAGTCAATTTAATTGCGGGGCGTGTCGGGGTCCGTCTCAGAGCCTTGGGACTCAGTTTTTGCCAGCAATCTGCTTCCCCTCCCCCTACTGATCGAATACAATGTTTGTTTTTCATTGGCCCGCATTGATTTACTACCTCTTGGTGGGATCCTTCCCCGCCGATCATTAAGACCTCGAGTCGGTTGTACTGAACACGTTGTTTCGTTGATTTGCTTGCAGGGACCTAGAGATCACCACGTCGCTGACCAAGCGGGCCCCTGAGCCAAGGCTCTCAATTGGCGTTAGCCAAGATGGTCAGAAGTTCACCAGGGATTTGACAGTCAAGTCGGTGAGTTGCTTTAATTACGGGAAACGACTTAATAAGATTATTCCTTTCCAAAAATATGTTTTCACAATTCTGATCTTCATACAATTTTTTCAAACAGGGAACTCCTTTGACGATGGAAATCAACCTGGATGAGGACTCCGCTCCTGTCTATGGTCTGGGTGTAAACTATTTGGATGTCACGGACACTCACACCTCCTCTGAGACATTGATCTTTAAGGGGTGAGATATTTAAATATTTATGAAGTCTGCATTTTAAAAATGATTTTATCCTTCTTCAGCTGCACTGTGGATCCCTATCTCTTCGAGAACTTCAACACTGTTGATGGCGATATTCTAAGTGCCAAGTTCAAGGCCTTCAAGTTCCCCGACTCGTCGTATGTCCAATTCCGGGCCACGGTCAACGTGTGTCTGGACAAGTGCCTTGGTACCCAGTGCTCCAACAACCAGGTGGGCTTTGGACGGCGCAGGCGGGAGATCAGCTCAGCAAACAAGGTCTACGAGATCTCGCTGGCCATGTTTCTGCAGGTGCAGGACATTGAAGGAGTCAACAAGAGTGAGTTCACTTTATATTCAAGTTTTCGATTTCAAATTGAATTACATTTTCCGTAACAGATGAGGTCCTGCAGCTGGAGGAGAAGCTGAGGGAACTGAAGCTGGCCAACCAACGCCTGGCCAGGAATAGTCGTGGCAACTTTGCCATGGAGCAGACGCCAGCCAGTGCTCAGCCTGCCTTTGTGGTGGATGAACGGGAGCTGGGACACCTTAGCTCCGGATCGGGATTCGTATCGAATGGGCTGTCGCTGGTTCTCTGGACACTTCTGGGGGCCCTGAGTTGGCGGCTGATGTAGAAGTTGTAAATCTCTCAAGGCGTGAACGACGTGCGAGTGCGAGGAATGCTAATCAGGGCGGAATTGCGTGCAGTGGCAATGAACGAAGGAGGGAATATTAATGTACTACCTAACTACTAAAATATACCTATACTTGATGTAACTGCCATTTACAGAACGTAATTAACTTTAAATGTATGCGCGTAGCTTAGGTTTTCTACGACTTATGGCAGGCGACATTGCGACAGAAACAGACAGACAACAGTGATTCTTATAAAAATACACAAAACACTTACATATAAATATACATAAATATGCATATATATTGGAGAACTTGAAGAACTCGGTCTAACTCATAAGCACCTACTAGTCTCCTAAGTGTAACTGTTAAGCTAATTTAATTAACGACTAAACTAAACGAATTAATTGATTAAACGAAACTCTGATCGAAACAACTTGGCTTGACTTTTCAAATTTATAGAAATGTATTAAATATAATCATGTGGGAGATGCTTTGGTTAGGCTTTATGTTGTATTTCTTTTGCTTGTTGGATGCAGCATCTGTGAAAAGTCGAATCGGTGTGTATACCCACCATAAAGGATATATAATTAAATCTACTTATTATATCGACATATCTTAATTCAACAGTTAAGCCCGCTGAAGGATATTCGACACCATATACGAGCTCTAAAGTAACTTATTCTCAGAAGCGAAGTGGTGTTCGACTTTATGCTGATTGGGGTAGGTAACCGCGGTGTTAAATTACTGGTAAAATAATTTGTATACCTTAAAGGTTATACCATGGACTCCGAAAAACCTTTGCAGCAGCAGTGCAGATCAACGGGTTATCACAAAGACTCCCCTTGGGTGGTTATTAAAAAAAGAGGAAATCTTATCAAAGAACCTCGTCGCTATTTAAAAGATCTTCGTACAGCAATGTACGATAAAGCAGATGTAGAGAAATGCCATCAACCAGAAATGACAAATGTTTTGGAATTTCTTGAATGCCAAATACGCAGGCACATGCGCTTGGAATTGCAAATTCCCAAATATCCGGAAGTTCCTCTTTAATTTTCTAATAATTCAAGAAACCGTTTAAATTTAAATCATTTTCGTGAATCCCCCTATCAAATGTGCGTCTACTGACTAAAGATTGCCTGGTCACACTAATATTATCGACTAAGCAATATCTGTTATTCCATCTCTAAGCCGAACTCAGTGTTTTCAGAATAGGCGCAAAGATTTTAAGGATTTACATTAGCTTATGAGATGGTTTTAATTAAAATAAATTCTTAATGAACTTATCTTCTAATAATTCCCAATATTAATGAAATCGTTAGAGCTCTTTTAAATTTGGCGGGTAAAGTGGATTTCTTAGTGCGAACGCATGGTGTTTCTAGCATTTAGGGGATGATTCCGTTACACCATCTGGTAACACCGAACCAAATGGTTTACTTTTTTAAGCTAAACTCATATGCAAACAAATTACAGGCAAACACGTAACCATTGGTTGTCAACTGAAGCGAGAACCGGCAGCTAAGCAATCAAACAAGGGATTCAGACCCGCGAACACCTCAACCGGACTTTCAGCGGACCAGTTCAACGTGTGACACATCGGCGATTCGATTTGCAACCAGATTCGATCCAAGTCAAATCCGAATCCAAATCCCCGAGAATCTGATAAATCTGCCAGGTTGGCGGTTGCTGGAGTGTGACGTGTGAACCCGCGACCCGCAACAACTATATACATATAGTAGATGCCGACGATTCCAGCTGGGCCTGTGCCCGATGCTGGACACGCTTGTTGGACACGGCTGCTCGACACGGATGCTAAGCTGTAGAAGAGCCAGCCTAGGGCTTCCAATCCCACCGAATCTCAATCCGAATCAGATCAGCCAGCTTCACGCCAATGCCGCAGCAGCGGTAGAGTCGCATTGCAGCAGACAACCACCACCGCCAACACCACCACCCACCAATTCCCCCCAAAAAGATGCGAACGCGCAAAGTGCTGCTGGTAATTGGCTTTCTGGTTACGTGGACCTATGCCACCTACTATTTGCTGTTGCGTCAAACGGGCGTTCACACGAGTCGGAATCTCGTCCATCAGTCCTACAGGCTCAACTCGCAGGCTCGTGAGGCCAGCAAGCAGAGTCATAATCTGGCCAGGAACGTCTTTGAGTTTGTTAAAATCAAGTACTTGGAGAACCAGCCCCCGTCGCCAGCCTCCACGCCCCAGATCAGCATCGTCGCAGCCGAGATATCAGCAGAGCTGACTGAACAGCATGTGTCCAAGTCGACCACGGCGCATATTCCAACCAAAACATATCTGGCCAACGGCGAGCCCGTCTTCCCAGTCTTGGTCTTCGCCTGCAATCGGGTGTCGGTGAAAAAATGCATCGACAACCTAGTGCAGTACAGGCCCAGCGTAGAGCAGTTCCCCATTATTGTGTCACAGGTAAGAATATTTTATAATTATCTAACTTTACCCAATCTGATTATGTTCTGCCCCTAGGACTGCGGCGATGAGCCCACCAAGGAGGCAATCCTCTCGTATGGTAACCAGCTGACACTCATCGAGCAGCCAGATCTCAGTGACATCACAGTGATGCCGAAAGAGAAGAAGTTCAAGGGATACTATAAGATAGCTCGCCATTACGGTTGGGCTCTGAACACCACCTTCGGCGTGGGCTTTGAGTTCGTCATTATTGTCGAGGACGATCTAAACGTGGCGCCCGACTTCTTCGAGTATTTCCTTGGCACACACAAGTTGCTCAAGCAGGACCCCAGTCTGTGGTGCGTGTCCGCCTGGAACGACAACGGCAAAGCTGCCGTTGTGGATGCGGCACAGCCGGAGCTGCTCTACCGCACCGACTTCTTCCCCGGTCTCGGCTGGATGCTCACCAGAGATCTGTGGGCCGAGCTGTCGGTCAAATGGCCAAAATCGTGAGTTTGCCAATTATGCTATTTGCTAGCCGATCGCTAATTGTCTGTTAACTGTTCTAGCTTCTGGGATGATTGGATACGTCATCCAGCTCAGCGCAAAGATCGCGTGTGCATTAGGCCTGAAATATCGCGGACCCGAACGTTTGGAAAAATAGGCGTATCCAAGTAAGAGATAACGTGTACAAGTTCGATCATAATGACCCCAATTTGTTAATGATGTGTATTTTTTTAACAGCGGTTTGTTCTTTGATAAGTATCTGAAGCACATTAAACTCAGTGAGGACTTTGTACAGTTCACTAAAATCAATATGAGCTACCTGCTGAAGGTGAGTATACAATGATATGATTGCTTGACCACAATAATTACTATTACTATTAACCATTCAGGACAATTACGATAATACGTTTTTACGGCGTGTTTACACGTATCCCATTGTTACATACGATGAACTGCGCCGGAACCTGATCAGGTGAGTCGTTAATTTTATGGCTAGTAGGTAGTTAACTGCTAGATATTATACATGAAAGCACAGAGCATGTTAATATTTTTTGGAACTTTAAAGAAAAGAATAGCAAAATTTGCATTCAACTGAAATCAAACGATATTTTTATAGAATTGAAGGTCCAGTTCGCATCCAATACACCACTAGGGAGCAATACAAGCGGACAACAAAAATGCTGGGGCTGATGGATGATTTTAAGGTAAATTAATATAACTCTTTCAAATAAAATCATGCTTAAGTCAATTCCTTCTTAATCCTTACAGAGTGGTGTTCCGCGGACTGCCTACCATGGCATCGTCTCCTTCTATTACAACAAACGGAGGGTGCACTTGGCACCCAATGCAAACTGGAAGGGATACGAGCTCTCTTGGAGCTAACGACGCTAATGTCGGGACACAGCCAACTCCACCTCCACCTTCACTACCACACAGCTAGTTCCGTGTGCTTGTAATACCAAAAAATAGCCCTATGATATTTTATTTTTGTTTGACCAATTAGCTAAGTTGTAACTATGGAATCTCCTTAAAACCGGCAGCAGTCGCATAGACTGCGCTGTTTGCCATCGCGTAGGAAAGGGAGTTTAAGGGTATCCATAATTGCTCATGTAAAGAGACATCACAAACTCCCTGAACTACGAGCCTACTGTTGGCGTAACGAAATCAAATCAAAAGAGTCTCCACTATGTATAGTAGTTAACCGAACTGTGTGGCTATGGCCAAAAGTTTTCCATTCTAGCATGCCACACAAGCAACGCAATGAATTGTAAATAAGTCAGTGTCGTTCGCTTTTGTTACAGCTCTCTCTCTCTCTCAATTTATCGTGTTACATTGCAAATAGTTATAGCAACAATTAAGTTATAGTATTCAGCATGTAACGTTTAGCATTTAAGTTGATCCAACTCGAGTTCTAACGGCAACGGACGTGTAATATTTGTGATTTGTGATTATTTAATTTACATTTATTAATTGTTGAGAGTCAGTCAGTAAACAATACCCGACCCACAATGTAACATAGAATAGCAATAACTAGAGCTAGAACTAGAACTAGAACCAGAACGAGAACTAGACCAGTGCTAAGCCACAAGGGGTGAGCCAATAATCCCGGGCAGGTCTGAAAGTGTGCCACTCTCAGCTAGTTGTAAAGGAATCTACACAGACAAGACACGTACTACCCCCTATGACTACCCTTTGTATGAGCATATTTTTGTGTGTGAGAGACGTACGGAACATAAATTCTAAAGATTAAGCACTGTGTGTTTTACTCCGTAGCAGGTGGCTCCTCATCTTCGTCCAGATGCTCGCAGTCAATGTCACTGCACTCGGACTCTGATTGTGTGGGCCTCCTGTTCCTTTGGGCTTGATTTAAGCCTTCGTGACCGAAAGATGTTGCTCCCCCGGTGCTTGGAGTGATGCGTTGCTGCAGGAAGTTGGCATTGGCATCACCGAAAACTCGTTCCAACTCGGCCAGTCCATTGGAGGTTCCTGTTTCCGTTTCCGGCGGCAGTGTAGCGTACTTCATCTGCAAATAGGCCTCATTTGGCGGAAGTGTAGCTGCATAATCCACAAAGCTTCCCGCATAGGACTTGCAGCGCGGGATGTAGCTGGCCGATGGAACACCTCCCGCCGGTGGCTTGGCCACTCCAAAGGGCAGAGCAAAGTTCAAGGGCTGTCCACGTGCCAGGATTGCATTTCGTGCACTCTCCATCACACTGGGTCCCGGCAATGGTGGCATCCCGCCACTCGACGGATACGGACGCATTGGTGAGCCGGTGGCCGTCGCCGATGCCATAGGCGCAGCAGATCCGCTTCCATTCAGCATAATGGATTGAATTGGCGTGGGACCCGTTGGCGTTTGGCTGAAGAGCCACAGACGATCGCCAACCACCATGGGTCTGGCCAATCCTCCAATTCCCAGCTGGGCGTAATAATGCGAGGCCAAGGTTTCCACGTCCGAGGTGTACTTGCGCTTCCACTTGGTGCGGCGGTTCTGGAACCAGATCTTGATCTAAATGGGAGGTAAATGGAATTTTATATTGAGGTAAGATAATAATTTTAGGTTTGAAAATTCGGGCGTTATAAAGAATAAGAGGTATTTAACTTTTAAAGGTTTTTTTCAAACATCTTTCTACTGTGTAGTTGTTCCATTTAAATTGAAATTTACTGCAAAAAATATTCCGAATAATAATAGTCCTTCTGCATTGCCCTTTCTCTAATAACACCATTCCTCACCTGCGTTTCTGTGAGCTGAAGCTGTTTGGCCAGTGCAGTTCTTTTGGCCACCGAAAGGTACTTTCCCCTCTCGAATTCCGTTTCCAGAGCTTTGATTTGGGCAGCCGAAAAGGCGGTCCTCGGACGTTTCTTGCGATCATCACCAAGGCCTGCAACGGAATAAAATCAATGGGAAATTGAAATCATTAGGAGTGGGAATCTAAATTAGACATTTATTGCTACCGACAGCGGCCATTCTCGAAAGCGGTGCCAACTATTTTCGCCTAATTGTAATTTGTCGATCCGTTGGCAAGGTTGCATTCACCAAACCACCAAAGCACCCCACCCAAACCCCTTTTGATTCAGCATACGAATGTGAATATCAAAAAGTTGCATTTCACTTAGCCAAGGCGTCTAATTGGCCATTTTGCCGTACATTCTCTTGCCTGACCGAAAACAAATTGTCATATAAATTCCTTCTATACGGGTGGAAGCTTTCCTTTGAGATTGCGATCCGTTCTTTGTCCGCTTTTGACATTTGCATCATTAGCCAACTGCGTCGGTGGCGGTGGGGTGCGAAAATATGAAGGTGGATGGCTTATTCCCTGTCACCCAAAAAGCTAATTTCTGATCATTTGTTTCTTGATCGCACAGATGACAGATGAGATCATTCAGCCGTAGGCACTCAATCTTTCAGGTGGAAGAGTCACTTTATTTACCCAATAATTAACGGCTGTGCTAAGCTCTTTATGGGTCATTCTATTAAAGATTTAATGGTCTTTGAGAGGAAATACTATATCATTAATAGTCATATAATTTTAGCTTGGCATCTCATCAATTAAATAGAAAAGTGACATTATTTACTAATGATTTGTGTAACTTTTAACAAAAACGTGATAATTTTTCTATTGTTGTTTTAGTTTTTGATCAGTTTTTATTAATACAACACATTATTGGATAAAACTTGTTTCATGCTTACTAATCTAGTTAAAATGTCAAATTTAAAATACAAAACAAGTTTTGGTTGCAAAATGAACTTTGAGATTATGAAAACCTAAATTGATTTTCTTTCTATTTCTCTGGGCTTTGAAGATACCTGTATAAAGGACAGCCAGGATATTATTGCTGATCAAGAATATATACTTTTTCTTGAAGGTCATCAGTTAAAGTTATGTCTTGTAATATTTAATATATTTCCTGTAGACTTTCAAGGCCCTAGAAATGCCGTCGTTGCTCTATAAGTTATTAGGTTCTCTTTTGAAAAACTTATATCACGAGAAGTTCAATTTATTTTCAAGAACATTTTGTAATTTTCTGACATATATGAATAGAATGATGTAAGGCATTTATAACTCTTAGTTTCACGATGAAAAAATGCTAAAATATCAATCATACGCACCGTTTCCATCATCTGAGGCCAAATCGATATCACTTTTGCCGTCGTCCAGGTTATCTTCCAAGCAACTGGATGTTGCAGGACTAGAAACACGCGAAACACCACCACATATGCCACCGCGACCACTTTCATCCTGCGCCGAATCTTGAAAGGAATTGGTGTTGCCCATTTCCGGCTTGGCCAGAATTTGTTCGATGGAAAAACTATGTGGATAACGACGCACTGCCGATTGTGAATTCATATTTCCACCGATATTATGCGATTTAAAAACTGAACTATATTCCAGATTTTCCTTAAAAGTGCCAGGAGAATCGTATCGGAATTCGACTTCCGCAGACAACAGTGCGCGATGAGATCTTATGGAAAACTAATTTGAATATTCAGAGCATCCTGCTCACTGGCCGATTTTTCAAGATGATCGCCTGGCGGGGCGGAGCCTATACCAAATATATCCCATCTGTTCACACTATATGGCCTGACTGTAGGACAGAAAGAAACAGGAAGATATTCTGAGTTTCCCAGAAGACGACACACAAATTCGTTTATTTTTAAAACATGTGTGAAATTTGTGGTGAGGAGGCGTGGCTCTCGGTCTTCTATATCTTTTCTCGGTTTCTTTTTTTGACGCCTTGCCTGTGATTAAAAGTCATAATTTTTGGCTAATTGTCTACAAGTAGCGCTATTTAATATTTCGATGGCTTGCTAAATATATTTAATACGTTTGCCAACATATTTCATTCTTTTGATTAATGAGCATCCCAAAAATATTAGGCAACTGGATTTGGTTTCGGTACATTGGTGTGCGGGCACGTGTCCTCATTTGAGATAATTTATCTTTAAACAAATAAAGCAGTTTTCTAAGAATTTATGGAAATGTATTTTGAATTTGTTTCTGCTTTGATTTCTAATTAAAATCAATTTGATATGATTTATTCTCTTCAAGAAACTACAAGTAGATAACATTATTTGGAAAATTGATATAGAAAACAGAATATTCTTCTAGTTCTATTCTTCTAATTTCTATCTTAAAATTTGGTACACCAATATAACGAAATAAACTATCCCAAAAGCAACCAAAGCCCCCTGTAAAAGTTCCATTAATTCGAAATTATGAACACATATTTCAGGCAGAATTTTCTGGGAAAGGGAAACTCAAGATCGGAATGAAGGGGAGGATCTGAGAAATTAGCCGGCGGGATGGTTGACACTAGTTTCCAATTGGCCAGGAGCCAACTCCACGTCACTTACCAAGCTACAGGGTGCCCGTGCTGGACGTGGTGCAGTGTGATAACGTCTTAATTATTTATTCGCGATTTGAACAAAATATGTGAAAACACGTTAATTAGTCGCCAAGATGCGAGAGCCAAAGGGCGAAAGGAGAGAGAGGATGCATTGCATCCATTTAGCCGGCCGAGCTGTCAGTTTGATTTAATTAAATGAGAATACTGGCGAGGGGTGAGCCACGAGGGGATCGGGATTGGGTTTGGGATTCGGTTCTGCTTATGAGGCCGCATGCCCGAGTGTCGCGGGCACTCAAATCAAAATGACAACTTAATTTTCATAATTGCGCTTAATGAATATTCGACTATTGCTTGCCATATTTCAAATTCCACTGCCAGACATAGGGCAGACTTTGTTTCGACTCTGGCATTTCGAAGCATTTACCAATTTTGTTGGCTACCAATTTTATGCGGTGATTATGACATTACTCATGACATACTCAGTCCTCTTAACCAAATTATGTTTTATCCAGGAAGTGATCACATCTTAGAAGATAACATTTTAAACCTGTTAAATACCTTTTTATACAGTTTTGTATTATGATAAAAATAGTTTAGATTATGAATGGATTGAGGATCCTTATAATAAACTTTTCCAGAGATAAGTTACGAGTATATTTATAAGTTTTTATGTTCCTTTTGAATTGCTGAAAACATTTTTAAAATTCCAATACTCGAACATTTTGAATCAATTACGAATCCTTAGACCCTTTGCCCGGTTATTGCATAACATCCGAACTCTTAACCTAACCAGATCAGTTCGTTCTGATGATCGCATTTAACGTTAAATGGAGCGCAGCCGCGTCAGAATTTAATTAATATCCAAGCATGCATCTTCATTATAAATCATCACTTCTCGAGTGTTTGTCAGGCGCACGCAGCATAAATCACGGAAGGAGTCCCAGCCGGAGCTGCACTGTCAGTCGCGTGGAACAGTCCGTCCTCCGGCCAAGATGTCGATGTTTTTTGTCCCCTCTTTTTGTCATCGCATCCAGCTAATGATGCATCAAGTCCTGCGGGGTGTTAGCTACATCTAACTTCGGTCTCTCTAGCACATCGATCATTGGGCTGCTCCGTCTAAAACATCTGTATCTGTATCTGAGACACTCCCACGCCATTCTCTCTCGGATATTCCTTGGGTTTCCGATTACGTCAAAGGTGAAGTTGGACCAAGGGATTTCTTTGCGGTGGTACATTGAACTCTTTGGGTAATTGTATCCTGATTGATTAGTGGAGCTGTCTATTTGTTTGCCTCGAAGCTAATTTGTGTTAAGACCTAATAGAGCCAGTAAATATGAGATAGAAGGGTAAATGTTTTCAAAATGCTCTTTCATTCTTCTTCTTTTCACCTAACTAAAATATTCTTCCTGAATTTAATTAATGTAAGTGCAATATCCTTTACTCCTTAAGTTGATAAAGCATTTGTACAGATTACATTATCCTTCCAGAATTCAGCAATAAATATCAGTCATGAATCTCTACCTCTCCACCCAGCAACGTATGCTGTTAATTTCATTCATAAAAACTTCCTCCCAAAGGAGACCAGCCTACGCCTTATAAACTGACAGATATAAATAATAATTACGAAAAAATGAGAGAGAATGAACTGCATATTATTAATTTAATGTGCGTTCGTTTCGAATTCGGATTTTTGGGGGATGGGATGTGAGTTCCCGGTCCTTGGTGCTCTTTTCCGAGAAACATGCTTGGGGAGGAGCTGGTGGAGTAAAAGGCGTCATTCCGTCATCCCGGACTGTGTTTATGCTTCAGGCGAGCAGACAAGACTCATAAATTACAACCAATTATCAAATTAGATTTTAACAAAACATGCAGTTTAAATCATATAGGAGTGTTTCGCTTTTTACGACACAATCAGCTCTACTCGGATTTCCGTGCTTTTTTAGTGTTTTATTTTTTTACGGGTTAAATGAGATTTTTATAGGCTGGATCTGGATCAAATGGTGAATCAATTCAGATTCATGGCCTGCTGATGGCGGCAATTAAAGAAAAACTGTGCAATTGGAAAAATTAGCAGACAATGTGAGCCCTGACAACTACGGGTAATTAATTTGGTGTAATTACTCAGGGCTGAGTGACAGATCTGGAGACTGAATGTATCTGTATCATCTTCTGACTTTATTTGTATCTCGTGAGTGCGGAGTGCTCTGTGTTGCCACCTCAACGCATCGATGGGATTCTCCGCGATCTCCAACAATTGCGGCGGCATTTTAATGAGCCAAATGGGCTGGCATCTCCCCTCGAGTGGCGGAAAATTGCTCCCATCTCAAATGGGAAATGGAAAAGGGGTGCAGATCCTCTAGTGATTCTACTAATTGACATCGGCAGTGTCGTCCTCGCTGTCTGTGATATCAAACAGTTTCACGCACAAATTGAAACTGATATTTGTACTGGACAGATTTATGGGACTAAGTGATGAGCATATGTTTTAATTAATTTCCAAGAAATTATTTTAACCCGTATTCTTACTTGATATAATCTACGTTGCATCTTCTGATCAATTTCCTTAGCCCTGTAATTCCAATGTTTGACGTGTTTCTTTTAGTGGTAATTATGACAAATGTCTAACCCGAACATGAGCCCTCCTAATACCCTCCTAATACCATAAACATACTATATGGATGGGATCCCCTTGCCCATTCCATTTTTGTGGCCACATCTGCATGACATTTTTTGCTGTTGTCTTGTTTGGGGCGCGCGACATTTTCTCGAGACGCCGCCATCCGAGGGAGATTAATGCGGTGAGGAAAATCATAAATTAATTAGAAGCGGTCTAGTCCACTGCTGGAGTGAAATCGGTCTTTTGGTATAGGCAACTATTGGTGACATTTAGCTGCAATTTATTGTCATTAGGGGAGATGGAGATGGTAGAAATGTACTACAGGTGTTGGCACAAAATCGCTTAATTAGCTTTTATTATTAGCTACGATGTGGCAACTAAGTGGCCAAGTGTGGGACCCCTGAAAAACAATATTCCCCAACTCCTCCTGACTGACTTCCTGTTTGAAAGTTGGCGCCTAATGCCGACGTTTAGGGACAATTAGCGCCACGCCTTTTGGCGCCAGCCAGCAAGGAATTCCGGATTGGTTTTGGGGCCACGTATGTGGGAGTCTAGAATGTGAGCCAGGGAGTCTGAGATTCCAGGGGCAGGTTCGGTGAATTCCAGACTGTCGTCAGTGTGTCGCGACTTGAGCATCCTGCCGATGGTTTTCTAGGACAGAGTAGGTTTCCTTTAGGAGGATTAATAAAGCCAGAAGAAGTCAGAAATCTTTACAAAATTAAGTTCTGTTGGATTCCAGAAATATTCCTCGAACACGCTTCTAACATTTTCAAATTTGCTTATGTACATTCATCATTACGATCAGGTTGTTTTTTCTTTAAAAATGGACACGAACTTGAATTCGTTCCATTCGTTATTATGCATTTGTGTTAAATACAAATTTACGAATATTTTACAGATCCTTAAAATTATATAAAACAGTACAATGCTTTTAAAACTGTACAAAAATATCTTATGCAATATAATTTATATACCAGTTATCTCTTAGGTTGGTGTGACTGCTATCCATGAGGCTAGAACCCTTGCTATACATTTATTAAAGTTTCTCACCCTTTGCTGTTTGGTATAAATTAGGATGTATTCTCAGCTTATGGTCACCCGATAAAATCACATAACTAATCGCATATCGATAACGATATGACATATTGACTTACCTCAGCTGTTTTCTCTTGACTTTGTTTACATTTTTGGAGTTTATTAACATTTAAACATCGTAAAACCATAAATAAAATGGCCTCAGCGACCAGTTCAAGTGCACGGCATTTATTTGACGAGTCCAAGAAGCGATTGTGTGCCCGCGTGGGCGTCAATGTAAACAATTTGGGTGAGTTGCAAGGGATGATCTCAGTTAAATCGATACTAAGTCTTTGTATTGGGTGTTCCCAGGATCTGTGGCCCGTCAGGTTGTTAGGGGTTCCAAGAGCAATGAGGTGAGCTAAGATCTGTAAATAATTCGATTCGGAAAACTAACACAATATTTTCATCCTAAGATCATGCATCAAACCCTGAAGAACTTCACACAAGTGGACGTGGTCTCGGATTACAGTCATCAGAATCTGCAGAAGATGACCCTGATTCTGCAGCATGTAGGCTATCAGTACGATGTGATGCAGGATAGCGTCAACCACCTGGATTATCTTAAGGAGCAAGTGACGGCCATGGAAAGATGATTGGAAGAGCAAAAGCCTAGACACTAGCAGCCATCCCGACCTCCGTCTTCAGTTTAGTTTATCCAAAACTATCTCCCCATATATATTCATAAATACAAAAAGATAGGCGGCGAAGGTCAAGGGCCACCAGAACAGTTGGGTATGCCGATAAGATAAGCCGTTTGCCATGAAAATCCCTTATAAAAGAGCTGGACCGCAGTTCATATCAACGCAGTAGACAATTAAATACAATATGATGTGCTTGGAACTGAGATTGGTAATAAGCCTTTGGTTAATCTGGACTACGGCTGCACAGAACTCGACGGATGTCAAACAGGATGGCCGAATTGTCGGCGGCTGGGAGACGCACATCACCTTTTTTCCGCACCAAGTATCCCTCCAGTTGGGCACTCGCCATGCCTGCGGTGGAACTATCCTTTCAAATACCATTATTCTGACAGCTGCTCACTGTGTGCTTGAGTACAACAAGCCGCAATATTATGTAATTCGAGCTGGATCTACTGATTGGTCCAAGGGTGGCAGCTATATCCGCGTCCAACGTATAATACCGCATCCCAAGTTCCATGAGCCCACAAGGATGAATAACGATATTGCTATAATTCAGCTGCAGCAACCACTTGTCTATAGTCAAGATATTCGACCTATTAACCTGGCTACCAGCCAGGACACGATACAGCCAACGGCGCAGCTTTTTGTCAGCGGTTGGGGCACCACGTCGATCTCGCAAATGCAGCCGGAAAAGCGTCTTCGGTACACAGTTGTTCAGCTTAGCAATCATAATCAGTGTGCGAGGAACTATTTTGGAGCTGGCACAGTGACCAACACCATGTTCTGTGCGGGAACTCAAATGGGAGGAAGAGACAGCTGCCAGGGAGATTCAGGAGGACCACTAGTAACCTCTATTGATGGTCAGATGAAGCTGTACGGCATTGTGTCATGGGGTTTTGGATGCGCAAACGCCATGTTTCCTGGAGTTTACACGAAAGTTTCCGCATATGACGATTGGATAGCGCAGACAGTGAAGGAACTAGTCTAGCTTTATTTTCCCTTTGCTTCACTACTTAGAAATAATGTTCAAATACTTAAGTTATCATATAGTAATTACAATGTATAAGATTGTTATCCTCTGTAAATGAACTTTTTATTCTCTAATAACTTGCTTATTCTCAAGTTCAGATGACTAACCGAAAACATAAAATATTACTTATCGAAAAACAATTTGTTAATTCAACTTTAATGCCAAATTACCTTGTTTATGAATGCAAAATGTAAAAAACAAGTTTGGGATCGTGGCTGGCTAAGCCGATCGTAGTCGCATATAAAATGCGCATCTCGGCGGGCCAAAGACCAGTTTTTGGGTCTCACGAACTGCGAATACCGAAGTATTATCCAAGTAGCCGTCAGTTACCAACCACAGCTTGAGTCGACAGGCAATATTACCCAGCCATGAAGCAGTTTATAGTTTTGGTTAGTGAGCGACTACATCAGACATTACTCAACTACAACTCTTCCTGTTTTGCATGTCAAGGTCGTTTGTTTATTGGGAGCAGTTACGGCTGATGTCTCCCATCTGGTCACCCCAGAGCCGAAGGTTCCAGCTAGCCCATATGTGTTTAGCTACCAGGCTGGTCGAGCTCCCGGACATGTGGATCGCCAGCATACCGAAGTGTCTGATGGATCTGGCGTAATTCGCGGTGCTTTCTCCTATGTGGATCCAAAGAACCAGGTGCGAACCGTACAATATGTGGCAGATGAGCATGGTTTCCATCCCCAGCTGAGCCACAAACTCGAAGACAGTGCCGCCGTTCAGGCAGCCAAGAAAAGGCATTTCGAGACTTACAATCGAATTGCGCAAGAGCATGCTAATCATGCACCAGGCCAAGTGGTGAGTATTCCGTGGGCAGGTGTGGCTCCAAATAGCTTGCAATGATGAATTTTATTCCGGACCCAGGCACTAGCCAATGCTCCGCATGCCAGTGCAGCCGTTGCACACGCCACTCAGAAACATCTTAGCGCCTTCGAGCGGATCGCAGCCGAGCATGCGGCTATTGGACGCCAGCAGGAGGCACAGCGTCTGGCACTGGCCGCTCAATCTGAGCATGGAGAAATCGAGGATGGTCAGTACCATCCATAAGAACACCCGTTCCTAAGCAGCCAACTGTATGACATGAAAATAAAGTGAACGATTCCAGAAAAATCTATTTTTATGAAGTGGTTTCGTGATCTTTCGAATAGATCGTATGGAATAGACAATGTTGAACTGCATTTAGCAGAATAGGATAGTTATATAATTATATTCATATAGAGAGATTTGTTCTTTATATTGTCCACAATAAGCAGTTCAAATCAGATAGATTCTTCTTTTGTGTTCAATGCGGCTAATTAATGTACTAAAGTATTACATTTTCATCATGAAAGTTGAAGCAAATTAGTATTTAGTGTGTAGTTTCCTCTGACACCTTCAACCAGTTGGATGTTTGGAGAAAAGGTCAGGAAAACCTATATCATGCCCATTTGGGTTATCTTTATATTGGGATTTAAATTTGTAAGTAAAACATAAACTGAATTACCCGAAATTATGAGTATTCAAATATTTTTTAAAAGGTTAACTCCGACCATCCATGCTACGATTATAATGGGATTACTGAATATGAAGTAGAAGCTGTAATAAAGGAGTGGCCTGTCCATCTGAATTTGGCCAGCGTTAATAGAACCCACAAGTGTTATGTGGCCTGTATTTTCTATTATTACAATCTTGTAGGTACCTCTGGGAAAATTACCCTAGACGAATACTTTGATTCTGGCATTATTGATGAATACGCGTTTGCGCCTACATTGAACCGATGCCGCTATGAGTACAGAGAGGAGAAGGATTTTTGTGAGCATACTTTCGGCATTTTCCACTGTTTCAGGCAGGAAAGACTACATAAGAATAACTAACTAGCAGTAAAAATTCCGATTAACAGGACATCTGTATCTCTAAAAATGAATGAAAGTGATTCTTCCCTTCTTTCTATATGCTTTGTATGTAGTTTTTTAATTAATTAATTCATTTTTATGAATTGTGTCTATTTTAATTTAATTTTTGAAAATATATTTTAAATTGAGAAAATTAGCAGTTTATTTTATATGTTTTTAAATATTATTTACTTAATTTTTCTTTTGTATTGTGAAAGATTAAAGTTTAAATTTCAAAAGCATAGCGATTTCAGAATGCATTCGTCACGAAATCCTCCATTATTTTAATTAATTTTATATATCTCTCTGTATTGTATATCACTCAAAGCGCTGCAATTAAACTATGAATGGCCATTGTGAAGAGTTTTAATTGCCTTATATTTGATTTTTATAAGTAAGTGAATTGAAGGTTTTCCATGAATATAGAGAAGCATGTTGGACCGACAAGCACTGTACTTAATCCTACTTCTTTCCTGTGGGACTGTTCATGTAAGACGGTTTTCGTATTTAAAAATAATATGTTTTTAATTCCCCCATATTTTTGTAAAGGGCAACTCTGCAGTGTACAATCCTTGTATTAAGTACATGAAGTTAACCGAAGATGAAGCCACTCAAGTGCTAAATCACTGGCCAGATAGAAAGGATCCTTCATTTGATGATCGGGGTTACAGGTGCTTTCTTACATGTGTACTCATAGACATGGGACTGATTAGCCCCTCAGGGCAGGTGCAGATTGACAAGTACATGAAGTCCGGAGTTGTGGACTGGAGATATGTGGCAATGGAGTTGGTTTGGTGTCGAGGCGATTTCGAAGATGAAAAGGATTTGTGCGAACTGGCATTTGGAATATTCAACTGTTTCAGGGAGGTGAAACTAGGGGTGGCGAATAAAAGGGATAAATAATTCAAGATAATAAATATAATGTTATTTTATATTGAATTTTCCTATAATAATTTAAAAGTTATTATGATTTTCGTTCTCTAGAACCCATTGACCATGCGACCGGTTCAAACAGAAAAAGTTCCGATTATACTGAGCTTTCTGTCGCTCTCCCGTGTTGGTTTTGATAATAAATCGAAAATCGGGTTCGGTCATCAGATTTAGTTCAGTTCCGAGGTTCAATACCACAACACGTTCCGTTCTGTTCCGATTCGTGATGGGTCGACTTCCGTTGTGCCTTCTGCTCCTGACGGTGGCGATTTGTAGTGGCCACGCCTATGAGGCACCTGAGGCCCAGGTGCGCGTGTTCTATCCCAAGGGATTCGAGGTCTCCATTCCGGATGCTGAGGGTATTTCACTGTTCGCCTTCCATGGTAAACTGAACGAGGAGTTTGACGGACTGGAGGCGGGGCAATGGGCAAGGGACATCCCGAGTGCCAAAAGGGGTCGCTGGACCTTCCGAGATCGCGAGACAAAACTGAACCATGGTGATACCCTCTACTTCTGGACCTACGTGATTTACAATGGACTGGGCTATCGACAGGATGAAGGAGCCCATGTGGTGACCAGCTACGACAATCAAAACAATTAATTATAATCTTATAAACAATAAAAGTTTGAAGCCGAGCTTTAAGCTTCTATAGAATCTTTGTTTACAGACCTCATTTTCTGTTCTTCTCCGCTCTCTTTGCTTCCAGCTGATAGGTAATCTTTATTGTGATTACACTTGGAAAAATATAAGCAATCAATGAATTTTTAGTTGAAATGCAAGGAAGATGTTGTCAATCGAATAATTTATTCCAAGATATCTAAAAATGTTTTAAAATCCAAATTAAATTGTTCTACGATTAGAACTAAATCTGCTCGAGATAAAATATATTTTTTTATTTTTTCATATTCACCATGTATATATATTTTGTCTTAAAATCAACAACTTAAAGTTAATCGTTATATCTTTGTCGTAAATATGTTCAACCAACCATAATGTAATCAAGTCAATTGATATTTAAATCAAAGGAAGGATACAACTTTAATGTAAATTCATATATTATGTACTCTCCGGTCGTAGCCATCGTCCTCCATCGGTTTTCATTGTGGCTGTGACGTATTTAATTATTTTCGTTAGTAAAAACACTTTTATCCAATGCAAATTTATGCACTTTTAAACGCTGTAATTAATCATAAATAAAACGCGAGGCATTAATGGCCAAATGGAGCGCAGGGCACTGCATTGCGATGGTCTGAAAATTGCGTAAAATGAAGCTCGCTCTCAAACCAACCGATATAATTTGCTTTATGCACTGGCCGGAATGCACGTTCCCTTTGTACAGTAACGTTCAAGATAATAGTATCAAAATGCAAATTAACATAATTTAAAATGCTTTTATGTATAGGATTGAGGAAGTGTTTGGATGATTACTTTTAAATATACGTTTTGATATTAAATTTATTATTTAAATTCCTTCTCGAAATTTCATTAGTTTAAACGAAAATTATTTTATTTAGTATCAGCAGTTAAGTAATGCATCAAATTCAACTCTAATGCTAGCTCACATATTAAACTTAATAATTATTATTTCCACCGCAACTGTTAGAAAGTACGTCGTACTTATAGCCACCCAAACACATACTTGCACTCACGCACGGTAGACATCGGGGCAAAAAGTTTCCAAGGATTCACAAGGCAAATTGATGAAGTTTTAGTTGCGGCAACTTCGCTACGTGATGTGTGCGTTACCAGACGCAGAGACGCACTGTCCACGGACCACGCCCCTTTTTGGTCCTGTTCCCATGTATATTCCCATGGTGTCGCAGCGATGTCGTATGGAGGTCCTTTGTGCCCGTTCGTTAACTTTTTCTCGCTCCCGCTCTCCTAGTTGCGGTGGCTTTTTTGTAAGCAACAACAAAGCAAAAGCAAATGCAATTACAACGCAACGAGCACACATTTTTTGCACTCACTGTGCGCCGAGTTGAGAGTTTGGAGCCACGCTAAATTGGTCTGGCAAATGCTTTTTGAAACACACCCTGGTCCCCTTCCCCAGGGCCACGCCCACTTGTCCCTTTTTTTGCAGCCCCCCAGTACCTTTATAATTTTCTGTCTTCGTGAACATTGCGTAGCAGCCGTTAAACGCTCCATTGGCGCCTTTTCCTTTCCTTTTCCCATTTTTTCCCTTCAGACCTCCGGGAATTGCCAAAAAAATCGACGAAGTTCTTCCTGACTGCAAGGTAAATCGCGTTTGTAACTTATAATAGTGCAGATCTGTTTTACGGCCTGGCTTATGGCTTAATTAAAAGGATTTGGTTAGGACACTTACAATTAGCTTCTCTTATTCCTATTTTCATCACTGAGTTATTGCTGAAGTGATCACATTTCCGTGATTGATTTGTTGCCCTCACAAGCAATGTCCTAATCAAAGGTGTGGGTGTGGAGGATCACTTGCTAACCATACTTGATTATCATTAAGAATATAGAGTAAACAATAAGAACTTTCTTAAACAACTACTTTTCAACTTTTCTCTTCTTATTTTTTCTATAAAGTTTTTATCAAACATTTTTTGTCATTTTAAGAAAAGTTCGCAGTATGGAAGTTCGACTGTATACGGGTATGTGATAAATTGGCAAAATAATAAATAATCACTGTTTCTCGGAGACTTCAGTTAAATCTTCGTAGGTCATTCGTTTCCCATCGAAAGTGGTTTGAATGTGTCACTGACTGGGAAGAGATGGAAGATCCATTATCATGGCAAGGTGCTTTTAAGGAAGCCTGTTACACACGTTTCGACGCTTAATGCCCGACACGTTTCAAGCTTTTGGGGCGTGCCGAGTTTGTCTGTTCGCTCTACTGGCTGCCAATACTCATATACATATGCATGTATTTTTTACAGTGTTTGCTGGGGCATGGCAGTGTCATAAATATTCTTTGCCGCTGCTTTATTTCTTGTACCGACAACGACAACGATGACGACTACGAGAAAGCAGTTTATCAATAATGCAAAATACTTCAACGGGTAAAGGGTGTGGGTGTACCAATGGCCACCTTCTGTGTCCCAGTTTGGTTACCATTCACTGGGAGAAAACACCACATAGTCTCATCAGTGTCAAATAGTTTCTGAATTCCCCTAGCTATCGTAAACTATTTTGTGATATTTTTATAAAACATTTTCCTCGTCTAAGATTTATCACTTTATTAGGGATAATAAATATCGAAATTATGTTGTCGATTCGAAGGCGATTTCTCATCCAGTGTAGATGTTGGCACAGGCGTTGCCCAGCGAAGCGGCATAAGCTGCTTGGGCAACATCCCTAAAGCTCCTCGGCCTTCGATGCCATTCCGATGCAGAGTAGTCCCCAGTGACAGCGGTGGCAAGGAGCAGTAGGGAGCAGGAGGAGCTACAGCCAGAAGCAAGCGCAAGGAATAGAAAGGAGCAGAAAGGAGCTGTCGAACCAGCCGCTGCACTCTGGGTGCATGTTTGTCGATTTGACTACGATTGCGGAAACGTATACAGTTCGTTGATCATTATCCGGTTCGTGATGCCCTCGTTTGCCGGCGACGTGATGCAGCTTTCCGTAGTTGAACGGGCGCTATTGAACTTATTACCCAGAGAGTATTGCTGGGAGAGGGTATCTAGTATCTGGTAACTGGGTTCTGGGCTCTGGGTTTGGGTTATTTGGCGAATATGCATCGACAACTAAAACACATTTCACCGGGCAGCCCGGCTGCCTGGTTTATGTTTTGCATTAGCGCAATGGCTCGGCCTGGCCCGGGCACTTTGTCAATTGGGGCAGTCGGGCATTAATTTCACTGGCTACTTATGGCGCATTAAATGGCAGCATCAGATCTATGGGCTACTAATGGCCCGGCTGGTAATTGAATTTTTCATTCCCATTAATGCCATTAAAGTGGTAATATTGAATTGTCATCTATATTGGGCTCTGTGTTCTCATTCCGCCTGAACTCATAAATTGTTGCGTACTTTTATTGAAAACTATTTGAAACAAGCAAAAGGCGTTTCTGCGTGGAAATTGAGAGTAATTTTTGTGAGCAAATGTAAGCCGAATGTTTTCCAAATAGTTTTGTAGAATATATAGTAAACCTAATTAAGTGGCAGATGGGCTTATATAACTTTTTATGAACACGAAGGATGGCTTTATTATAATTTAAACACATGATGCGAAAGGATATAATTATTAGCCTTATTTAATCACTTTTGACCATGTACCAGCTTTAACGTTGTACCATATCCTTTGAGCTACAACCGACAATTAACTGACAAATTGAAAACTTGTAGTGAAATTGCAGTGAAATTCGGCAACTCAGGGGCACTTCCTGAATAGCAGTTAGCTTGGATTCGAAATCAATATTTGCAGCTCAAAACCGGCGAGCATTTCAAATTCGCGATGACAGTTGACAGCCTGGCAGCTTGGCAGCGGCAATGGCACAAGAAGAAGCTGCCGCTCAAAATCAAATTAGAGCAAATGCGAAGTACTTGAAGGAAATGCGCTGCAAGCACAGGAAACCGGAAGAAGGAAGAACAAGAGTAGCGGAGGAGGGGTCACCCGCAGGCAGAGGCAAAGGTAAAATCAAATAATAAAATCTGATTGAATTGAAACTGAGGTAAGCTGCCGAGCGAACTGATTTATTGATTTTCAAGCAGCGCTTTCAGCTTGGCTTTGCAAATTGAATAAAGTGAAGATTTAGCCGCCTCGATTTCTGCTTATTCTCAATATTGTTATGTAGTTTTCTTTGGCTTTCAAGCAGATGTAAGTAGACTGTTAACAATCACTTTTAACTTGGCTTATTCGTTTTGAATTGGTTAATGAAATTAACAATAAAGTTTATTCTTCAGGAATGTAAAATTAAAAATGATTTAACATAGATCGCAGATACTAAAAACTTTAGTGATCACTGACCTCGGCAGATCCAACTGTAATTCAACTTGCCGAATGACATTTTTGGAGCTTTAGGCGCATCAAACATTTTATTTACAACACATTTACGCATTTCGGTCTTTCGAACGTGGCACTTTTTTATGTTTTTCGTATTTTTGTCGTTTGTTGTTTGCGTTTGGCGTTGAGTAGCGGAAATAGTAAAAGTTTTCTAATGAGAAAAGTTTTCTCACAGACAAAGAGAGGAAGCGCCGGCGACAGAGACAGCCATATCTGGATGGAGTGAGATATCACACGAACGAGTGAGAGAGAGAAAGATACAAGATGTCCTGGAGGAGAAAATGAGAGAGCGCTGTCCATGTCGTCGGCGAATTTAATCATTTGCCTTGCCACTCCTTTCTATTTCTCCTTTCCACACTCATAAAAATATATAATTTAAGTTTGAAATTTTGGAAAGTCTGAGGCAATAATATATTAAATGATATTTTAAATAAATTCTTTTGAAGAAATGAATATAAGAAGAATATAATTCATTCCAGAGAAAGACACTAAGGTTCTTAAATCACTTAACAGCACTCAAAAGTATGCAGTGAAAAAGTTCGAATTTTTAATGGCTAATTTGCTCTTTAAATGTAAAAATATGCTGTCTACTTTTATGTGGTTTAAGAATTTGACTTACCTCAGTACATTGTGCATTTTCTTAAGAAAGATAATTCGAATTTTGTCCAGTGCGCCCTCTCTCCTTTCTCCCAAGGATGTGCGAATGTGCACATCAAAAACTAAACACGTCAAAGTAAGCAACGGAAATGAGAAAAAAGTGCGCTTATTTATTTTTGTACTTTCTTTTCACGCCCTCCCCCTTTCGCCAGCCCCCTGTTGACAGTTTTTTGCGTTGTCGCCTGCACTTTCTATTTGACTTGACGAGAGTGCGAGGGAGGACGAGAGGAGGGCCAGGAGAAGGACGGGCAGATCCTCGCGGCGACATCAAAGCGCGTTATAATTCGGAATTATGCAAAGCTTAGCAAACGTGGACGCATTGTGGCGTTTACAAGCGGAAATAATGAAAAATAGCGCGAAACGCTGAATCATTTGTCTCCTTGGCAGGGGGCGGACGGGGGCGTGGCTCTGCGGGAGCGGTAGCAGATTGTTTCATAACGTTGTAAAGGTAACAATACCGGAACACAGAGATTGCAGCTATAAAACGAATTCGGTGTAACACCTTGACTAGATGCATTCTAATTGCTGCACTGGGGAAAACTTCAAGGAATTCGGAGATTGACTTTACAGTTTAACACCAACCTGTATTATATATCACTTATTTCACTTTGTCAGCCTCCAAGCGAATATTCCCCAACCTTATTTGAGTTTTCACTGAAGAGACGAAAAAATATATTACGAACCATAAGTGTATTCCAAGCTTAAGTTAGATTAAGTTGGTTTACAATAAAATGTTTTCTCTGCATTCTTTCTGTCGGATAGAATCATTTGATGCTATAATTTTAAATTTCCCACTCGAGCGGCAACTTTGTGTGTTTCGATGTATCTGCAAGATGCATCTTGAAAATTGTTGATTTAATATGCTATTAACGTGTTTTTGTCTATCGCCTGACATGTATCGGCCGCAAATATACAAGATTCCGGATAGCGCTCTTAACAAGCCAATTAAATGCAATCCAACCTATAGAATCATCGGGTATATAAAGTAGTCGATGTTGCAGCAACCGTACAGGAAAACCAAGCGAATCGTCCGGGCCATTTTCAGCATTTTAGTGAGCCGTAAGAACGTGACAGCTCCAAAATGAAGCTACTTTTCGTTGTTTTGGTTGTTTTTTATATTGTGGCTGTAACCCTCCTCGGAGTCGACGGACGTGGTGGGGGCACCACAAACGGAGTAGAGGTAGGATTCGGTGGTTTGTTGTGGCCCATCAGCGGGTTTAATCGTATCTCTTTGCAGGAACCAAAGTTCGTGGGGCTATTCAAGCGGGTAAGTACAGAAAGGTCAAACTGAAGGCCAACTGAATACCTAAGACTATTGGCCCAACCAAAACTAAAGGCACCAGACCAAATGAATGAACTCGATTCCAAGGAGGCGGTTCACTGGAGACGCATTCACAATTTAGCCCTCCTAATGCAAACTTATGTTAAATGCCTTATTATAGGCCAGGCGCCATGTCCTCGAAACGAAACCATGCGACGAACCGCCACCAACACAGAAAGTCCGAGTAAGAACCTAGTGTCGGGATATAATCTTTACAATTGAAGAAGTCATTCATTTTTATTTAAAAATGGCTATATATTCAGTTAATAGGTGTTCAGTTTCATAAGCTAGAAATTTTAAGGAACTAACTTAGTATTATAACTACAACTTGATTGGCTGTCTTTTTTTTAGTCTCGTCGTAATGCCCTGGTGAACAATGAGGGTCCACCACCAACTGCAAAGTTCAGGGTAAGTATAGATCCCGATTTAAATAGGTCAGAGAACGCCGATCTATTAATATTCCTTATCCACACAGCAACGACGTCAGGCTCCACCCGGAATGCCGCCCCCACCGGAGGGTCTCCCACCACCTCCCAGTTTCCTCGTCTAAATATTCCTGAATGTATAGCATAGTGTTGGGCGTTTGTGCATGTAAATGGGAACCACATCGAAGCTAATAAAACTAGTTTGAAGCATTCCAAAAAGTATAATACCCGAATTTCTTAAAGTCATAAACCTTAATGCTGAAAATTTCTGGGAATCGCAAAAGGCTAATCACCTGGTGCAGCTGTTTTAAGGATAAGGACCAATAATCCTTGTTCAGGTAGAATGGGCGTAACTGACATACCTGCTTAACCTATTTAAGGACTTGTACAGGATTCATCGGCAATCAGTTCTCATTTCCGTTAAGATCGCACAACATACGCTTTGAGATGAAGTTCGTCGCCATTCTTCTGTTGAGCAGCCTGACCATTGCGATGGTTACAGCATTTCCTGATAACGACGACAAAAATCGTATTGTGCGAAGTGTTCCGGTGCCTGTTTTTAAATTGGCCCCACCAGCATCCGATTCATCCTCAGATCCATCGGAATCGCCAGACGTGGTCTTTAACAGCATACGCCGGCCTCGTCATCTCCTGAGCAAACTCTTTCAGCCAACCGTGGTGGTTCAGCCGGTGATCGTAGAGCCTCAGTTGCCTCGACAATTTCCCGCATACTCCCCCCAGCCCTATCCCACATATAATGCCCCCTACCCGTACTTCGCACAGGGCAAGGGCTCCTGGTAGATTGTGCTTTAAAACATTTATTTGTAGAAAATTTAATAAAAATAAAGACGATTTGCCTTTTAGTCAAAGATTAATTCTGCTGTTTTTATTTTCTAAACGGATAAAAGAATAAAGGTTTCGAAATTAAACAGTTACAGACTGGGAACTTCTTGATTTCAAATATTATTTTTGTTCAAGACCTAACATAATGGTCTCTTAAAATATCGATAAAATGGACCACATTTTACAACTTGTTAACTTAACTGCCAAGTGAAGACTAAAAGCAATCAGAGGAATCCCAATAAAGGCCTTAGGGTGCGCTGTAAGACCTTAAACCCCTTATACCTTATAAATTTCCTAAATTAACAAGACTTACAAATCGTTGGTAGAACTAAAACCAAGAAACTTTTCTTAAGCGTAGCCATATGTCATTAAGGCAATGGGAATTTTTACAAGCTAATCCCTTGGTGCAGCTACCTTTTGCAGGACTGGCAATAATCATGGGTCAGGTATAGTGGGATACAAGGCAGTAAAGTTGGCGTACCTGTTCCACCTATATAAGATCATAGTCGGCTCTCCAGGCAATCAGTTCAAACTCGGCTTCAGATCATACAGGACTGGAATAGGACTCTTTCTCATTTGCTCATTTACAGATCAAGCCACACACACGTTGAGATGAAGTTCGTGACCATCCTTCTGCTGAGCATCTTTACCATTTCGATGGTTTTGGGATATCCGCCTAGAATAGGCATAGATGTTGGACTGCCAAATGAGAACCAGCTGGAAATTAAATTTGGCTGTCCCACGGACGATTCAAGTGGCAGCGAAGTTCGCCGTTGTCGCTCCTTTCTGGATATGATCTCCGCAGCTACACACTTGGGAAATGCATTCGGAGAGCTTTTAAACTTAAATGAATAATAATAATTAGTAATTAAAGTATGTTTAATAAACAGTTAAACAGTCTACTAAAACTATGGCTTTGTTACATTTGTATGATTTATTAGCTAATTTTGGTAGGGTTCCCATTGGAGGCAGGTGCTTTGGAGGATTCTGGTGGCATATATAACTCCTTTTGTAAAATTTTTAACCTGACCTACAATTGTAGTTAGGCTAGGTTGTTATACCTATGCGGCCCACTACCTATCATATAGCAGTTATCAGTCCCCTGATAGTTTAGCTAGGAACTCGATGACATTTTGGAAAACGTTAAGGACGAATACCATGACTATGGGTATCCGTTATATAGGAAAGCATTTATATTCCTTTAACTTAATGTTCCGAATAAATATACTCCGATGCTAGTAATCGTTTACTATCCGTTACTTTAGAACTACCGAGATCTTAGCGGTCATACGAACAGACGGGCAGACGGACATGGCTTAATCGACTTTGCTATTGTTACTGATAAAGAATGTTGTACATATATACTTTTTAGGGTCGGAAACGCTTCCTTCGGCATGCTACACCTTCGGCAATATACCCTTTTACTTTACGATTAACGGGTGCAAAAAGTATTGCAATAGTCAAGTGTAGAGTTTCTTACTGTCTTATTCAATTTTAAAATAAGCTCTTTGCCAGCTTAAAACCTATGCAGTTAGTAATTTTACTAGCGCCACCTTTTATCAGAAAAAAACATGTTTAATAACTGACCTAAAGTAAATTTTATTATTATGGTGTTAGAGTGGGGGAGGTCGGATAAGGAAAGAAGTATACGGTTCGGTGGCATTAGTTAGAAACTGCTTACTTAATCCCATCACTTGTAGTTACCGAGATCTCAGCAATTCTTCAGAAAGCAAACGAACAGAATAACGGGCATGGCAAAATTGGCTCGGCCAATTTTTGTATATATGGTTTCTAGGGTTGGAATGGCTTCCTTGTACTTAAACCATAAAACTTTCCATAAGTCCAGGAGTCAGTAAGTTCCTGGGAATTTTTACCAGCTAATCCCCTGGTGCAGCTAACTTTTGCCAGATGGGCAATAATCCTAGGTCAGGTAAAGTGGGTAGGTTACGTATTGTCGTACCTGTTCTACCTATATAAGATCTTGCACGGCTCTCCCTGGCATCAGTTTACACTCCGCTTCAGATCATACAGCACGCTTTAAAATGAAGTTCGTGGTCATTCTATTGCTGAGCATACGAGGTGTGTTCAAAAAGTAAGGTGACTTTTCAAATTTCGCGGGCAACATATTTTCGATTATCGATTTTTTTGTTTTGTTATATTGGTACACTCTTCCCTAACATCTGTACCAAGTTTCAATGGAACATCCTCTTTTGTTTGGTTGTGAGAGGCGTAAAGTTACAAGTTATTTTGCGAGCTCGGCGATTTTTTGCTATCGAAAAATATGGATCAAAGGATTTGCATCAAATTTTGTGTAAAAAATAAAATTAAGTGCTCTGAAACACTTGAAATGTTGACAGTGGCATACGGTGAAACTGTTCTGAGTAAAAAAAATGTGTACAAGTGGTACAAACTCTTCCAAGATGGCCGGGAAGATGCCAATGACCAGCCTCGCTCTGGACGCCCAAGCACGTCAACAACTGATGAAAACGTTCAAGCAGTGACGAAAATTGTTTTGGAAAATCGTCGAATCACTATCAGAGAAGTTGCTGAAGATGTCGGTATATCGCTTGGCTCGTGCCATGAAATTTTTTCAAACGTTTTGGGTATGAGTCGTGTGTCGGGAAGTTTGTTCCGAAATTGCTGAATTTTGACCAAAAGAACCGTCGCATGAGCATCGCTCAAGAGCTGTTGAATGACGTCAACGACGACCCAGATTTACTCAAAAGGGTCATAACTGGTGACGAATCATGGGTATATGGTTATGATATCGAAACCAAAAGCCCCAATCGTCCCAATGGAAGAGCCCAGGCGAGCCAAGACCGAAAAAAGCACGCCAAGTTCGATCAAATGTCAAAGTTTTGATCACTGTTTTCTTCGATTACCATGGCGTGGTGCATCAGGAGTTCTTACCATATGGTCGTACGGTCAATAAACAGTATTATCTGGAAGTTATGCGCCGTTTGCGAGAAGCAATACGAAAGAAACGTCCAGAATTGTGGAAAAACAATTCATGGCTTTTGCATCACGATAATGCCCTGCTCACTCATCTTTGCTTGTGAGAGATTTTTTTGGCCAAAAACAACACCACAATAATGCCTCAGCCACCATATTCACCGGATTTGGCCCCATGTGACTTTTTCTTGTTCCCAAAACTGAAGAGACCTATGAAAGGACGGAGATTTGCAACGATTGAAGAGATAAAGACTGCATCGCTGCAAGAGCTCAAGGCTATACCGAAAAGTGCTTATGGGAAGTGCTTTGAGGATTGGAAAAACCGTTGGCATAAGTGTATTGTATCTGAGGGGGATTACTTTGAAGGGGACAACATAAATATTGATAAATAAATTAATAGTTTTTCTTGAAAATACAAAGTCACCTTACTTTTTGAACACACCTCGTATTCACCATCTCGATGGTTTTGGGATTTCCTGCTAGCCAAGGCGTAAACATTGGATTCCCAATCGACAGCAAGACGGAAGTTACACACCTCAGTGTTGAGGATTCAGAAGTCCTAGGTCAACCAACACTGGCAGACCAGATCCCTAAAGTTCGCCGTCGCCGATCTTTCTGGAGCTTTTTTTCCTCAATTTTTAATTTCTTAGATAAGTTTGTGAAATTCGTGAAATCTCTATAAATTAAGACATTTTGTAAAATTATAATAAAGAAGTTTTAAACTTAATACTGAGCGTCTTATTTAATCAAATCTATAGCTAATCACGGTCTCACGGGGTACGATTTAATAGTCAATTTTATTGAACCAAATCGCCCATTGGATTCCAGGAGGGCAGATCCTGAAGAGATGCGGGAGCATTTCCTAAATTAGTTTCGGGAGACGGTTGCCATTTTCATTAAACATAAACTGGGGGTGAAAAGTTATCGATATTTTCATCATTTTTACAATACTTGCTAATTTTTAAGATCTCAGTTTAAAATGTACAATATGATTGGTGGTCTTTTTTAGTCTCGTCGATTGTATTGGAAGCAAGTCTGGTGGCCAATGAGGCTCCACCACCACCTCCACAGTTCAGGGTAACTACAGAACGGGAGTAGAACAGATTAGAGGAACGCCAACATATTAATATTCCTTATCCTGCAACGTAGTCAGGCTCCACCCGGAATGCCGGCCCCACCGGAGGGTCTCCCACCACCTCCCAGTTTCCTCGTCTAAATATTCCTGAATGTATAGCATAGTGTTGGGCGTTTGTGCATGTTTTTTTTTTTTTTTTTTTATTTACATATTTACATTTTTATTTCGCCGGAATCGTTCAGGCATTTGAACATAACCGGGCGTTTATCAGGAAATTAGTTATGGTACTATGGGTGTACCTAGAGTATATGTACAAATATTTACAAAACTAAAATAAAACTATTTACAAAATATTACAAGTTTAAGAAATTAAGCGGGATGGCAAGTCGCTGGGGTGGAATCTACTAAGTCTTCTAGTAGATTGCGGGTCGGCAAGCCTGCTAGCCAGAGGATTTGGGTGACCTATTAGCCTGTCCGAGTATCGGCTGCTGTGTTGGTTTAAGAGATCGCCCACGGGAACAAGCCGTAAGTCGTTCTGGATGGCCTGGTTGGTTACGTACCACGGAAGCCCGGAAGCCCGTCTTGCAGATCGTGCCTGAACTACCCTCAGCCTGTTTAGCTGGTGCTTAGACGCGGTGCCCCAAACTTGTATCGCATACGTCCAGGTTGGCGTGAGAATTGCATTTATTATCAGAACCTTTGTCGAAAGCTGGAGACTTTTCGCGCTCAGGAGCCAATCGAGCTTCTTAAGTTTGCGGTCGCACTTAGCTCTGATTGCCGTGATGTGGGTGTTCCATATGAGCCGCTGGTCTAGGTGTACACCCAAGTAGCACTGCGATGTGGCGTTCCGGATGGTGTCACCGTTAAAATTTAAGACGATGTCGATCGTAAGCCTTAGTGTAAATGTTACGCTTGCCGACTTGCTGCAGTTTATGGCTATATTCCATTGCTTGGTCCAGCGCTCCATCGCACGCAGCCAGTCCTGAACTGCAGCCAAAGCCGTCAGCTGAGATGTGTGGGACGCAAGCAACGCCGTGTCGTCAGCATATGTAGCCAAAAGCATACGGGCGTCTGTAGTGGGCGACGGAACTGGCATGTCACTTGTGTACATGGTGTAAAGAAATGGACCAAGCACACTTCCTTGGGGCACTCCTGCGTGGATGTGAGCCAAGCTGGATCTTGCGTCCCTTACTGCTACTACAAAGGTTCGATCGGCAAGAAAGGACCTCAGGATGACGAAGTAGGGAGCAGGGAGAAGTTCCTTGATTTTATACAGGAGGCCCTCATGCCACACCTTGTCAAAGGCTTGTTTGACATCCAGGAAGACGCCTACAGTGTGCAGTTTGTGCTCGAGTCCATGGGTGATGTGATTGACCAGGCGATGGACTTGTTCTGGACAGCCATGAGATTTTCTAAAGCCAAACTGATGTTGGGGTATATGGCCTTCTACTTGAGGTAGTTCTAAAAGACGACTGAGTAAACACCGCTCGAACACTTTCGATAGTGTAGACAATAAACTGATTGGACGGTAGGAATCAATTTGAGTCGGAGGCTTGTTTGGCTTAGGGATCATGATGATCCTGGCTTGCTTCCACTGCCTCGGAAAATGACCCAGGCTCAGCATGGCGTTGAAAATTTTTACCACTGCAAGCACTCCTTTGGGTGGAAGAGCCTTTGCCGCTCGATTGTCGATGCCATCGGGTCCAGGAGTCTTTTTTAGGTTGAGCGCCTTTAATTGCAGCGTGACTTCTTGCGGCGTAATGTGCCTAATAGGGCGCGCTGGCTGGATAGAGGCTCTCACAAAGTTTGCAACTTCGTCGCGGTGCGAGGCGTCTGAGAGATCAAAAGGGGTGAAGGTATCAGACAAATGTTCCTGAATGTATAGCATAGTGTTGGGCGTTTGTGCATGTAAATGGGAACCACATCGAAGCTAATAAAACTAGTTTGAAGCATTCCAAAAAGTATAATAAGCGATTTTTTTAAAGTCATAAACCTTAATACTGAAAATTTCTGGGAATCGCAAAAGGCTAATCACCTGGAGCAGCTGTTCTACGGATGTGGTGACATAATCCTTTGGGAATTTTTATAAGCTAATCCCCTGGTTCAACTAACTTTTGCAGGATTGGCAATAATCCTAGGTCTGGCAGAGTGGGTGGGTTGACAGGCAAGACAGCTGGCGTACCTGCTCTACCTATATAAGATCTTGGTCGGCTCTCCCTGGCATCAGTTCACACTCCGCTTCAGATCATACAGCACGCATTATAATGAAGTTCCTGGCCATTCTTTTGCTGAGCATCTTCACCATCTCGATGGTCTTGGGATTTCCTGCTAGTCAAGGCGCAAACATTGGATTCCCAATCGACAGCAAGACGGAAGTTACACATCTCAGTGTTGAGGATTCAGAACTTATAGGTCAAGCAACCCTGACAGACCAGATCCCTAAAGCTCGCCAACGCCGATGGGCCTTCCTGGGCATTTTATCTTCCATTTTTAGTTTCTTGACTACATTTGTAAAATTCATTAAATCTCTATAAGTTAAGAATTTTTGTAAAATTATATTAAAAAAGTTTTAAACTTAATACTGAGCGTTTTATTTTAGTCAAATCTAAAGCTAATAAGGTCTTTAAGTCAGCAGATATACAGGGTATGATTTAATAGCTAAATTTATTTTAATCAAGGCGCCTATTGGATTTTTTTTGGTGATTCTAGTGGCGTTGTAAAAATCCTTGTGGAACAAACTTCTCATGAACCGCAATATCGATGGCCTAAGCCTTCCTCCTTAGCGTATACCTTTTTTTCTGATCCTCGTCGACTTCTGTTAGACCGCCGATAGACAAGATTCCAATGGGCTGTTGCTTAGAGTCCAATCCAACAGATTTGAGTAAAAAGACAGAATTTGGACGGGATACCTTGTTGAGCAGCCTCTCAGCTTTGGGCCAAACCTCAAATCAAATGCATGGGATTTGAGACTTAAAGGACCAGATTTCGAGCTAATCCTACTGCAAAGGTCTCAGCAAAGCCAAAATGCAATGCTTTAAAAACATTTATTTGCAGAAAGTTTAATAAAAATAAAGACGATTTGCCTTTTAGTCAAAGATTAATTCTGTTGTTTTTTATTTTGTGCAAAGGCAAATTCCTTAGCGCAAATCCCTTAAGTCGAAAACAGTTGCCGACTTGCTGGCTACTCCACCAAATCTCCCTGGCAACTCCCTAATGCCTAATTAGGCATGCCGGGCACGTAGGAACGATTCCCGAAAAACTTAGTGAAGGTCGCGCCTCGGTGACGATGACAACAACTGCCACAAAGGACACAACGTTGTGGGATTTTTAAATAATTTTATACAAACGATTGGCGGCTGACACAAGAGTTCAAAGGGAACTCAAAATCGGCTCTTTAAGAGCTCGTTGTCAGTTATTTTGAGCTCAAGGGTCTTAAAGTTAATATTGCCTAAGTAATGCATTACATTATAAATATTTTTAAGGATATAAAAATATAGAAATAGTTGATATATTTATTTTAGAAAACTAAGAGCAAGAAAGTTGAAATAAAACCAATATAACTTTTCGAAAGCCAAGATGCCATATGGCATTAAGACTTTGGGAATTCCTAGAAGTTAATCCCCTGGTGCAGCTGACTTTTGCAAGATTGGCAATAATTCTGAAACAGGTAGAATGGGTTACCAGGCGGTAAAGCTGGCTTACCTGATCAACCTATATAATTTCTTGATCGGCACTCCCTGGCAATCAGTTCACATTCTACTTCAGATCATATAGGACTTTTTTAGGACTGTTTGGCAATCAGTTCTCATTTCCTAACAGATCGTACCACACACACTTAAAGATGAGATTCGTGGCCATTCTTTTGCTGAGCATCTTTACCCTTTCCATGGTTTTGGGATTTCCTGCTAGCCAAAGCATAAATTTTGGATTCCCAGTTGACACAATGTCGGAAGATTCATTTGTCAGTCTAGACGATTCAGATTTCGTGGGTGAAGTGGCACCGGCAGACCAGTTTTATTATTTTTAACAATTATTTATAAGTTTATTAAACAGTTTTAAACTGAGAGCTGAGCGTATTTTTTATTTATTTGAAAGGAAATCTAATGATGTCTTTATGTCATCAGTTTCACATGGCTTAATAGCTAATTTTATTTAAGCAAGGCGCCCATTGGATCCCAGGCGGGCAGTTCCTTGCTTTTGGTGATTTTAGTGGCATGAATAACTCCTGGGGGCACAAATTTCTCGTGAACCACAATTTCGAAGGCGTATTCTTTTAGCCAGCTTACATCCATGGAGGTAGCCTGGTTTTTTGTAGCCTTCTTCCGCAGTTCCTCCTTAGCTTTCACCTTTTTTCTCTGATCCTCATCGACTTCAGTAAGGCTCCCAGTGGACAAACTTTCACCGATTGAAGAGGCACTTAGTGTACGGAATTCAACGGGCTGTTGCATAGAATCCAATCCAACGGATGTGAGCAATAGAGCAGAATCTCGACGGGATTCCTTGTAGAGTAGTCTCTCCGCTTTGGTAAGGGTTTCACCCACCCTTAAACCAAACATCAAATCAAATGAATGAGACTGTAGACTTAAATGACCAGATTTTGAGCTAAACCTACTGCAAAGGTCACAGCTAAGCCAAACGGGCTTACCGCCGACCAGGGAGTCCACTATAATCGGTATTATGACGTCCATTGATTGGTTGTTATACCTATGCGGCTCACCACCTATCATATTGGAGCTGTGGGCAATCTGATAGTTTAGCTGGGAACTCGAGGACATTCGAGGATCATGACCAAGGCAAACGAAAGCTTCCAGATCGATGGTACGTGCCACCATCACTTCGTAGAAGCTAACCGACGTCAAGCTCTCCAAGAGTTGGTAGCGCTTCTTGTGGTCATAGAATGTCCAATCGAAAACCTCCGGTGGTTCGCCCAGGCAGATGGTCACTATCTTGAAGAGATGCGGCATCATTTCCTGAATGAGTTCCGGCAGACGGTTGCCATTACCATTAAACGTAAACTGGGCATGCAGCATGCTGGCATACTCACGGAGCTGTGAATTGATAAGGGTTAATGGAATATTGCAGTATCATAATTATAGGCTCTATCATACCCACCTTACTCCTCAGGATACTGTTCATTTTTAGACTTCGTTGGCTGGCCAAATAACATTTCTTCGGCATCACACCATATTTCTTGACCAGGTTCTTGAACATCTGCCAGTTGCCGCCATCTGGAACGGCGTTCTTCATGAAGTTCCGGAAGCATCGCCCATCCAGTGGCTCACATTGCATCAGAAGATCAGCAACTGTCCATAGGAAGTAGTTGCATCGCTCCAACTTGTGCCAGAAAAACAAATGAGCGGCAGAAAGTTCAAAATCCGCAGGCAGCGGCATCTTTTTGTCCATCTCCTGTCGGAGTAGGTCCAGACCGGTACAAATCCAACCCGGACCACCACTTGTTGCCTTTTTCTGCGAATCGACTTCGTGCCACGTTTTACCGCCGGAAACATCAGAGCACAAGTCTGCTGGCGATCGTTGGCACATGTTGATGGGATCCCGGGCGGTGCAAACATTCTGGGCCAAACGATTCTGCGGAGATTCGTAGAAGGCAGAGCACCAGGCGGACAATTGCGCTTCGGTCAGCGGAAAGATCATCTTTGGATCTTGAGAAATCTAGTTCAGAATACCGCCTGTGGCTGACATTAGAAAAGTTCAAGAATAGACACTACAAATTTAGACCTGTTTGGTTTTCCTTTTGCAAATACTGAAGGCCTATTTAGCTTATTTAGTCTAAGAAACTTAAATTGTCGTAAACGTTAATCGATATATTTAGCATATCGAATTAATGTGCTTCTCGAATCACAGTCATGTCACTTTTTAGAAGGTAACTCTAAATGTTATATTAATATTGCCAAAGATCTTTTGATAGGTGTGCCTTTAAAGTTAACTGCGAAACATTCAGTAATAATTTAATGAAGAGTCTTTTTCATTAATGCTCAATTGTCAATTTGTGGCGGCCAAAAGATCAAGATCACCAATTGAGAATAGATTAAATTAGCTTGGAAATACCAATAAAGAAGTCTGGCGGGGTAAATGGGAATATCCCTCTCTTGGGTACCAAGAACTGGGCATAAATACCACCACGAGCTCTGTAATTGTATTCAAATCGGCGCACGCTTCCAACATTCTGGTCTGCCTAACTAAGCGTTAGAATTAACAGGCATCTAAGCCGCCGGTTCGGTGAATTTCCCGCTAATCAATCACATAACCTAAGCTGTGCGGCATTTCCCGGTAATTGGCCAATACACACATACTCGTACACCCACACACACGCACACTTGTGGCCTGAGGTAGTGCGAACCAAGAGATTATGGCTAAGAAGCCCTCATGTGTCGGCTGCTAAATTTGCATATAACGGCGACCAAAGTGTCTCCTGGAGGCGTTTAGCTCATAAACATATCTCAGAATTAAAGACGCGACGAATGCTGCAAATGCGCTTTATTTCGAGCGACTCATGTACACTTACTTTATCTAGACAAAGAGGTTACCTAGGGTTTCTTGAAGGTCTTTGTGAAGATCATCCATGGTTTTCTTTAGGCTGGCCCTTACTTCTTGTTGAATACGCTCGGCATAGTTCTTAGCCTCTGCCTCCAGTTTGTCGCGATTGTCGAAGGAGTAACGATCGCCCAGGAATGTACGTCCACCTATCTTGGCAACCACCGTGTGATCGGCCAGTTCGATGATTATGTCCCCATTCGAGTACTCCACTTTAGCTGGCTGTCCGTTGATATCCACAGTTTCCTTCTGGTTCACACCAGGTGCTTTTGGCTGGAAGGTATACACCTTTCCGTTCTCATTCAGCTCAATGGCTCCATTGATGATTCTAACAGTGCGACCATTGCTATTGATATAGCTTCCCTGGCTTTCGTCTCCGTAGATGAAGCTATGTCCATCGCTCTGAATTATGCTGGAACCACCCTGGCCGTTAATGATAACGTTGTTATTACTTCCACCGCTTCCATAGTCCTGGGAGACGTCCTCTTCACTTGAGTCAGCATTCGCAATGATTCTGCGTCCATCAGATCCAATCAAAACTGTTTTGCCATCTGGTCCGCGTATGATTTGTCCAGCTCCGTTTGATAGAAAGGTATTTCCATTATTATGTAGGATTGTCTGGTCATCACTTCGGCCAACATTGGCAGCTAAAGTTAATAATGATAACATTAAAAATTATTTAAAAATCATAACTAAACAGGTGTTTCGATCCTGAATTATAACAATTTGGTAAAGAAAAAGTTTGTTTAGCTTTTCCATTTTAAGTGATTCATTAATTATAAAGTTTTTACAGTCCCTAATAGAATTAGTAACTTGGCGTGAAATCTTTCACAGCTTGACTTATCAAGTTGATGTTATTATATTTAAGGAACGTTTTATTTGCTTAGTTTAAATTGCAAAATATTTATTTACCGGTAGACAGAGAGGCGATGCCGGCCACCAGGCCAAGTAGAATCCAAGTTCCAGTGCTGGAGCCCATTTTGCATTGACTATAGCAATGGCAAGTCAAGTGTCAGCTATTTATACGAGCGCACCAAATATCGGCTCAAAACGTCGTGATCGTTCTATATATTCTATATGATCCGTTCTCCCGCGGCATTACTCTCCCAACATCAACAGATAAACCCGGGGAGGAGGTCAGCGGTGCAATTCACCGGGAATTGCCAGCCACAAGTTTGTTTTGTTTACTTGCGATTGAGCAACGTTAGTCACTTAGTCACCGGCTTGCCAACCGACTCCCGATTCCAACGGACCGAGAGAGTGGAGCGTGTGAAATCGGGAAAGCTTTTTAGCCAGGCCAACAGTAGTAGTAGTATTAGTAGTAGTACGCATATTGGCCATATAAACCGGACAGATGGGAGGAGTGCAATTTGCATTATACTGTAGAAAATTAATATAGCACGTGCCGCCTTTGTTTTGACGGTCAAGCCATCGAATCTCGAAAATTCCCATAGAACTGGTTTTCCTGCCTTATCAATAAAAACCGAAATGCTTATCAAATAAACCTGTAACCCCACATGCATATATTACAAATAAACCTCCCTCTGGTTAAGTAACACAAAAACATAGTGTATTAACGTTTTGCTTGTGAATAATTAAAAAGTAAACAAATTTTATGTTCTACTCGACTACTACTCGATATATATTTGAGTAAAGCACTTAATGGAGTATTATCATATGTGACGAGTTCAGTTCTAGGAAAAAATCAGTTTCAAAACAATATTGTTGTTAAGTTATTCACAAATTTACTGACAAATGCAGCACGACTTGGTCTTGGTCACGCCTACCACATCAGTAACGCCAATTGCGGTTGCCCTTTGAATGGATGATTATATTATCGGTTGAATCTTCTCCACCATTCCAGGCGGGTCCACCAACGGGTCCACTATTTGAGCCAGGTCCCCATTTCCACGGATTGCTATTTACTGTGGTTATGTTTATTATAAATATGTAAGCTATATGGACTGATCACCTACCAGTGAGTATGGCAAAGCATAGCCAGAGCAGTAGCACCGCGATATGTTGACTGAGGAACATGGTCAAGGCGAGGAGTTCCAATGATGTAGCATTTTATGGACACACTTATTTTATACGGCTGCTATCCATAACTCTCGCTCTATCTCTCATTCGATTCGTATCTCTTGGATTGCTTCAGTCTCTCTCTCTCTCTCTCTCTTTCAGTCTCTTTCTCTTTCTCTGTTCATGTTTGGATACGTGGAGGGGTTCGATAATGGCTCAAGCTCTAGCGGCTTATGCATAATGCAATTTTCTGTTCTTTGCACTCTTTCAATTCTCAGTCAAACCCTAGTTCCACCATTGTCACATACACTCAGAAAAATGGCTTAGTTAAGTATATCTCATAAATGAAAAGATAAGAAGAAAAACATAACTCAAAAATCATAAAAAATGGTTTAGTTCCTAGCAAATGTTAGCTAACCAAGTCTAATGTTTACTAACTACTTAACTTAAAACACATATTAGGAACCTAAGTACATGTTTCGCTTAGTGTAGACGCACAATAGTCGGGCAATTAAGAAGTTTCGCCATGTGGCTACGTTTCTAATTATTTTCAATTGAATTGCTTTGCTATACGTAAACTTTTTCCATTGCTAGTGCCATTAAACATATCGTCGAACTGCTCGCTCCCACCTCGGATCCCCGGCCATTGACATTATCCATGGTCCCCGGGCATTGAGTGGGCTTATAGTAGGTGGGTGGGTGTCTGTATCTAACTGCAGCGGAAAAAGTTAAGCTCTCGCCGAGCCAAGTTTCACAATAAAAATTAAACAGGTATTGCGTTGTTTGTTAATGACAAGCGTTTCGTTGTTGTTGTTGCTGCTACCGCTTGGTTTGAGTGCCTGTGGATTTGGATTTGGGTTTGGGATTAGGTACAGGGGGTAGGGTTGGAGGAGTCACTCTAGATAAATGAAGCAATTGTAAAGTTGATAATAAAATGCCATGGCTAAAAGTTGGACTATCACTGGAGAGTGCAAATTATTTAGGTTCCTTAACATGTTCGTGGACTTTGTTAGTGGCTTAATGAGCTTATTAGTCGATGAATTAAGCGAGATTATAATATCTCTGGTTATTTTATGGGGTGTGTAAGGTACCTTAAATATGACTTTGCCTTTATAGTAGAGTAATTCAAAAATGTAAATCAAGTTTTCTGATTTATTTTTAAACAGCCATAAATAAACGACTATCATTATTAGAAAACTGGGTATCTGGCAGATACCAAAAGGTTTCCCAATAAAGTTCTGTGTAAATTGACTTTCTTGCTAAATTATTTGTGGCATTGTTCTAACACGTTGAGGCTGTAATTGAATTCTAGCTGTCAAGTGCAGGTTAAGGAGCTTAATTTGACCTGAATGTGTTGCTTTGGCTTTTATTGCCACCCACGACATTCTTTATTGTATTTATGTGCGACTTACATTAGCCCAACTGCAAAACCGAGATCAGAAATGTTCCCAAACGGCGGCAAGATAAACGACTTTGAGTCTGAAATACGGCTTGTTGGGATGGCTCATGGATGTCGGTTTGCAATTTGGGCTAGGGGAATTCCCCTACAATCTGCGCCTGGTCAAAGGCAAATGTATGTCCATTATTGTTGGTGTTGTTGCTGTTTCTATTGCTGTTGCTGCTGCTGCAGTGCGAATCGAATCGATTTGATTTTCCAATCAATTAAACTTTATGTAAATTGCGTCTGCGATGCTAAATATAACAACAATTGCAGAGCGTAAGCAGCGCCAGCAACAACAAACATTTCCACAAAGCACAGCTAGAAAATAGCACTAGAGGTATTTGTTCTCTCACTCTGTTTGCTTCTCCCTCTCTATCTCTTTAAATCTTCACATCTCTTTCTCACCCTCTAATTCGCTCTCTGTCGCACTTCAATGTCTCTATCAACGGCTGACTGCACAATCACAAAAAAAGTGTGTTCAATGGGTGATACTCTACACTGAAATCTAGGATCTCCATTGAATCTCTTAAGAATTCACTAGTCAGTAGAGCTTATGCTATAAAAGTTTTACATTTACATCTATCATATGATTATCTATCTTATATGATATATCAGATCATTACCTACTATCAACTATGATGTGCTTCTTTACCATTCCAATCGTCTATCTATCTGTTTAATATTACGTATACGCAATGCATGTTTCGTATTTTTGCATTTTTGGGCAAATGATGACTTGAGAAATATAGAAAATATAAAACCAAAACATTGTAATTTTCCACTGTGCAAGCTTGTGAGTCGGTGGGTGAAGTGGGTTAGCCGTTGGCGGTGGGTGGGTGATTCAGGTTAGGGGACACTGCATATTGCACGACTTTGACTGCATTTTCGCATTTGGCAAATGTTTTCTGTGTGATTTTGAAATGCAGACGACGATGTTGGGCTGCTGCAGATGACTTGCGACGTGAGCCATTGTTAGAACAGTCTCAGGTGGGGGCGAGTGAGGAACTAAAGACACGGAAAGTGCATTTGATCAATCGAAAATGGCAACAATCTCAAGTTTTAAAGTACTTGCACAAAGGCAGGTGGTCTTAATGAACACAATTAGCTTAATAAGTAAACAACAACTTGGGGCAAAGTGAGCGTCAGCGAAGCGACATTAATTCAATTATTAGGGCGAGCTTTATAGGCATTACCTGCAAGAGGATGAGGATTCATTAATGCTAATTGAGTACACAGTCTTCGAATATATATATATATATATATATATATTTGTTATGATCCAGGACAACAACACAAGTGTTTTCAAATGTGCGGCCCAGAAATTACATTCTGCAGAAGCAAATTTATTTACACGGCGCCTAATTTGGTTGTTTAGTGATAGAGAGGAGGCTTTAAGGCAATCTATTCAATCACTTTGAACCAATAAACTAATAAATTAGTTTCTAATTTGATGGAAGCCTATAATAGTTTGCTGCTTATCTGAGATTCACTTCGGTTTCCTTAAGGTAGTAAAGACTTTAGATAAATCTAATGGAACAATGGGCTTATATTGTGAATTGCTGGCAGTAGATGGTAGACTAATTGCCGGCAACAATAAAATTAATATCTTATGGATACTTATGGACAAGAACACAATCAAACTTGTACAAAATTGTTGACGAATTGGCAAATCCACATACTAAAATGCCATAAAGTTATCTCTTATTCTGGAATCTTCTTATAAGCTCAGACTATTTTCCTTTACAAATTTTTACAAAATGCTTTTCCTGTAATATCCGAGTTAAATATGTTAAATGCCTTGAAGAAACATCATCGACAACAGCCTGACAAAGTTATGCAATTCTTCTCCATTTTGCTCCATTTTTTATTCCTTTCAGGACATTTTGCACTTGGACTAATTTCAAAGAGCCATATATCAGCCCCTCCCCAACCAACCGACCCCCTTTTAACCCACCCACAAGAACCCTGACGGAAAATTCCACTCTCTCTGATGGTGAAAAGACACCTGTAGACTGGCAACTCTCATGCCAACACCCACCCACCCACTAAACCCCTTTTCACGGGAAAAACCTGACAAATGTGCGTCAAGTTACTGGCAACTTATTTTCCGCGGCCACGCCCCGTGCACCGCCCACAGTTTGAACCGAAGTTGAGCAAAAATATTTAACTTGGTGGCAGCGGAATCTTTTATAATTAATTTGCCACTCTGCCGGCTTTTTTCCTTGCGGCTCACGACCCGCACCCATCTTCGTATTTCCCATTTTCCCCAGTTGGATGTCGGCTTCATATTTTACCCATTAGATGACGCCCGCATTTTCCTAAAATAGTTTCAGCACGGACACGTATTTATATTCATGGGCGAATGTTACGTTTTCTTTGGGCTTTCGCTGTCTTTAAGTTTTCTGATTGCGATTTATGGGGGTCGACACTTGGAATAACATTCTTACTAGACGTGCGAGGAGACTCAACACAAGATTTAATGTTTCAGAGGAAGATGATTTATATTGATTGTCTAGTTGAAAGATTGTTGTTTAATAGTGTTTTATATTTAAATTGTATTTCTCTTTATCCATATTGAAACAGAGAAACGAATGCGTAAAGTGGTTCAAGATGTCGGCTTACTAACTTATTGACCCATTCAATTCATCAGAGTGAAATATCAAAAGACCAAAACTGAGCTTGAGCTTAAACAAAATCTTGTATGACAGTGTAAGATCTGACTTTCAAGAAGATAAGTTCCCGAAAAGGTAAAGATCAAGAGCAAAAGCTTAGTTTAAAGCTTCAAAAGATGCTGATAAGCTCTTGCCGACGTCATCGACTGATTGATGGGTTATCTGATTCATTGAGTTATTTGCTAATTTTCGTTTGCCTAGTTCTGTTTACTTTCCGTATTCCCGCTGGCTGATCTTAGAAGAAACACGAAACGCTTTTGGAGATCAGTCATCTATTTGCCTGCTTGAGAATGAGATCGTTTTCGCTTGTGATGCTGCTGGTGCTTGAAACGAGTTTGGCCCAGCTGGTCTGGAGGGACTATGGCTATAGAGTAGTTTTTGGACCGCATGGAGAAATTGGACTACTCAAAAATTATGGAACAAATAACTATCATCAAGGAGGAGCGCCCTTTGGTTATAGAGAAAGTGGTTTAATCAGCGGAACCATGAATGGTGGTCCATTTGAAAATAGCAACATTCAAGGAGGATTGATTTCTGGCGGAAAAAGTGGAGGTCCCTTTGGAATTAGTCACGGATTAGGTGGACTGATTAGTGGCAGTAACACTGGAGGACCATTTGCCAGTAGTCATCATGAAGGAGGTTTAATTTCTGGAGGTGGAGGTCCCTTTGGCAGTAGTCTAGTATCAGGTGGACTGATCAGTGGCAATAAGAATGGAGGACCATTTCCTAGTGACCATTATCAAGAAGGTTTAGCTACTGGCGGCAGCAGCGGTCCCTTTGGAAGTAGTCAAGGATCAGGTGGACAGGTCAGTGGCAGTAAGAATGAAGGATCATTTGCTAGTGACCAAGCAGCTACTGGTGGTAGCAGCGGAGGTCCCTTTGGCAAAACTCCGGGTGAAGGAATACTCCATCAAGAAGGAATAATTTCTGAAGAAAGCAGCGAAGGTCCCATTGGAATCAGTCCTACTACCCCAGCCGAAAGTGATCTAATCAGTGAAAGCAAGAGTGAAAGACCTTTAAAGACCAATGTCCAGGAATCAGAAGAGGAAGAAGGACCTTTAGAAAACGCAAACTAAATCATGTAACTTAATAAAAATAATTTAATATTTTTCACAAGAACTTCCCCTTATCAATTAAATTTAAATAATGCTTGAATGCCACAAGCACGAGAGGCTTAAGTACTCTTCACCTGAGGCTTTTGAAAAAAGTGTGTTCAGAGAATGAGGTGGTTCATATATATATATATATATATTTTACCCATTTTCCGCATTAAGTTGTCGTCACAAGTCATTTTAGCGCCTGCCATGTGAAAAGCGGTGGCCAATGTGTGTGTATATGGGCGTTAAATGAAGCATGTGCCGGTGTCCGTGTGAGGGTGGGTAATGCAGATGGGTGGTGCACGGGTGCAAGTGCAACTGCAACTGCCACAATCTTGCCGCTAGCTGGCAGTTTGCGCCAAGCGAAATGAGAAAATGAGAGCAGAACTGCTCGCAAATGTTGCTGACAGCGTCACTTAGTCCGCTACCTTCATGCCGCAGATATATAGTATGCACACATGTCCACCACTCCTATATACATATATACCTGTGTGTTGATATATAACTGCATATATGTGTGATTGCGAAAAAGTGCACAAGCTTTACGAGCACCTCGCCGCATAAATGCTTAATGCACTGCAAATGAGTTGTGACAAATGGCCTGACCAGGCATATAATAATATATTTACTATTCCATGTACCAGTAATTTGGGTGCTTCTCTCTCCACAGCCGAATAAATACATTATATAATTTTCTAATACCTCGGCTTCTGTTCACACTCAACTTTCTCGGTTCTAGATTCTCGGCTGAAAGCGGTCAGCGAGCCAGGTCAAGCGCAAGGCAGAGTAAACTAACACAAAACAGTCGGCAACAGGAGCGGATCTAGGTTGTAATGGCCTTTAAGCAGTAAATATCATAACGATACTTCTTAAATATTATAAAAAATATTAAAGAGCTTACAGTTATGAAAGAAATTTTAATGTGAAATATTCTTATCAACATGAATCATTAAAGTCCATGCTGGGATGTGATATAAAACGCTTTTTAAAACCATAACCTGAATCTAATTGGCTTCTTTCAGGCCAATTTCCAATCGATCAAATCACACCTATCCTCAACTAAGAACTAGAAACCCTTCAGTACACGCAGAATCAGGAACTTCCAAATAACCAGAAGCGAACCAAGGGCAACTTGGACTAGAACTGAGAGATGGCAAAAAGTTTTATCTGGTTTCTGTTAGCCTCGAGGGGAAGTTAAATGGTCCAAGAGCAACCTTTTATGCAGTTGTTTATGAACGTGAGTATATGGTGGGTGGTGTGGCTGGTTTCATACCTGGGCAAATTCTTTGGTGCATTTTTTTCCTGGTCTCTTCGGTTGCGTCTCTCCGATAAATGGCGGCAATTTTTGGGTGTCGCTCTTTAAACAAGCTTGATGAGCGGGCAGGAGATCTTTTCAGTATGATTTATACGATCCGGATACTTACTTGCGTATCTGTGACAAAGTGTTTCTTTGATTTATAGCCTTAATGGAAAAAAATAAAGCCATGCAATGGTATTGAAATACATTGTTACTGCAGAGAATCATTTGGGCAACAATGATGTCAGTATGCCCTATTTTCGTTAAATGAATATATTTAGAGTCTAGAAATAAATCATTATGAATTGGCAGGAAATGAATTTGTTTTATTTGGATCACAATAATCATAAATAAAGAGAACATTACGAAAATAATTAATATAAAGTCGTTTCCCTTCCCATCTATTTGTACTATTTGCCCATCTGTATGCTGTTTTTCATTTGTTATACTTAACTATTCTTTTGGCTCAAAATTCTGTTTTAGAACCTAAAAATCCTAATGAAAAAACTATTAAAAACCCAGACTTAAGGGATAATAATAACTTTAGACGACCTTTTGATTAGCCAGTATCAAAGGTAGAGTAAGAAAACTTGTAAAATTTTTTTTACACTTGATTTATTGAACAAATATATTGATCGTATTATGGCCATTGGCGACAATAGGTTGTCGGCCACCGTTTGAGCCGTTCACATCGATTCTCTGGGAATCCCCGCCGCCGACCACATGTACCTGGTTATAGTTGTGGTAGTCGACGCCATGGTAGCGTGCCGTTGTCCAATAATACAAAACATCTCCAGTTTTAAGTTGTTGGTTCCGGTTGCGATATGTCCAGCGTCCATTTCGGGAACTTACTATGTCGGCTGCCCAGGTCTGATCGGAGAGATCATCCATTTCCTCATTGACCTTGCCATGAAAGGCGAACAGCGAAATGCCCGGTTCGTCGGGAATGGAGACTTCGAAGCCCTTGGGAGAATTAACCTTGACGGTGGCCTTAGGTACATCGTAGGATAGACTGCCGGAAATGGCGAGTAAGAGGAGATAGACTGGCAAGTTTGAGGTTTGCGACATCGTGTTGGTAACTGGATTGTGTCGGGAACTGAGCCTCGGCTTATGTACCCAGCCATCTAGAGCTTATCTCGTCTGATTGGGACTTGTTTTTTGTTCCCCGTAAGCTGCAAATTTCCCGCCGGTGCATCCCCCCGCAGATAGAGAATTCTAACGAGTGCCTAAAAGTAAGCAATTAAAATATTTATATGGCAATTCTTCCCCAAAATTGAGAGCGGGAAGGGCTGATAAGCTTTTAAGTATAACCTCTTTGTATGTGAATCGCTTTGGAATGAAAACTATTTAAAGAAAAAAGATGTTAAGCCATGTACCTTCCGATACCCTAAAATATTAATAAAAGCAAAACCTAAAACATTACATAAGTCTGATTTATAGATTAAAGTATTTTATGAATGTGGAAACTTAAGATACATAGGTATTTGTGCCACACCCACTTTGGCCCATTGTACGATGCATCCCTATCCTTAGCAGTCCAGTAATTCGGCCGCGTGCCCGAAAGTATGCAATACAAATATTTGCATAGCAATATTTCTCAAGAATGGGAGCGGGTTGATAAAGAAGAGCTTTAAGCTACAACCACACCACATGTGTGTGGTTTTCTTTGGGACGACGACTCCTTTGTACCAGAATAGACTATATACACGTACATAAATATATGCAGATGATCCGCCCGCCTTGTTGGCCACACAGCAATCTTGCGGCATTGTTGCCAGTCCTGTTTTACTTTTGGCTGCAAGTACGAGTATGTTAGTACTTCCCCATTCACATTCACCTAAACACAGTCTTTGCCATCCTTCGTCGGCATTCGCGTGGCAGACAAAGAGAAAGGGGATCCTTCTGGCGGCAGATACTTAGACAGTCAATTGCCCAAAGTCAGGGTGCAATGTTAACCATGTTGCCACTGAGCAGGCGGTTTTGGGCTAGCAATATATACTCTAAGTACTCAACGCACAGATACTAACTTTGTTTGCATTATTAGATAAAGTTTGTTGACTGCTAACTTATTAAAAGACGTTTTTGAAGGAAATATAATTCCATTATAATGGGAATTACCTTCGTTGGATTCAAAATATATAATATTATTTATATGTTATTAAAGTGAAAGATAATTAAGTTCTGTCTATTTTATTATCGACTTCTACTTTTACTTCCAAAGCGATGGTGCTAGCCATTTTTCTGTCAAAATCACAGAAAAACCAAGTCGGTCTCCATCTAATTCATCTGGATCATCAGCCCCCAGATCCTCATCTTCGCGTTCCCCGTGAGCTCACTTAAAGCAGCTTATGTCCCAGGCCAGGACCCAGCCTAACCAGATGGTAGTTAATTCTTAATTGCCCAGCTATTTGTCAAACAAAATGATTCAGCTAACCAACTTGGACGAGCCGCTCTCGCCGGACTGACAATTGTCCCAGAAACAACATTAAAACACAAAAGCGCAATATCAACTCCCATCGAAAACAACAGCAAAAAATGAGGATAGTGATGGTAATGGTGATGGTGATGAGGATGGGGTTGGGAAAACAAGCAAAGTCAAACCACAGCAAACCGAAACTAAATAGCCGAACATTTATACAAGCAATCTATCCCGGGAGCTGGCCGCTCAATCTATTCATTCAGTCATTCGGGGGTCCACTCACTCGGTCATTCGTTCATTCATTCATTCATTCAGCTGTCCATCGCAATGCGGGTCGCGATGCCGGGGTCATCTATCCTCCAAATGTTTGCTGATGTTGCGCCCAAGCGGCTGGCTCTGATTTATAAGCTGCATGCCGCTGACCACTTGATTGCGTATCCGTATCCGTATCTATGCTCGTGCTCGTCCTCGTCCTCCATGAGCACAACCGTACAACCGTACACACATATAGTATACGTGTGTGTGTAATTTATTTACGTTAACACGCGCTGGATGGCCCAAACCCAATGGCAAAAACACCCGAAAAACCAGCCGGTAGATGAGGAAGGATGAAGAGCAATTTTCATTTATTTTAAATGGCATAGAAAATTGCAAACTGACATTTTTCTGGCCCAAGTGCTCAGCTTCGGTTTTGGCCCTTTTCCATCTTTTCCATCGGTTTCCCAATGGCTTTGTGCACACAGCCGGAAATTTGTGTAGTTGTTGGTAGTTGTAGTAGTTGGTAGCTGTGCAGTTTGGACTGGCATTAGATCTAGGGGGCCAGGTCCCAGACTGATTACCATGAAATTACATTGTTTCGCACTTAAAACATGCCGGCCAGTGTAAATGTGTGCCAAAAGCACTCTCTATCTCTCTCTCTCTCTCCCTCCTCCTCTCTTTCATACCCATTTCGGGCTTAATTAAGTGGCCTGTTTTTATCTGTGGCAAACATTTCTTTACCTCGCCATCACCCATGGCCAGTCCATCTGAATTTAGCCTCAAATAGCATTGAATTTAATTGCTTGCATTTATTGTTAATTGATTTTATTTTTAGCAGTTTAGCATCGATAGGTATTTTTTGGGGCAGCCGGCAGGTGCTTGGCTATTTATTCGTGCGTGATTTAATTTATTTGGTATTTGCCTAAATTGAATGAAAATTGATTTTAAACTTAATCAAATTTTTTGAAACTGTCAATGATGCGTGTCAGAAGCCACAGCAAAACAACGCAAAAAAAAGGGCTTTTCGCTGCAGGAATCCCATTCAGCCGTCGAGCATAATTCAATCAGCGAGTTGTTACAATATTTTTCTGAATAATTTGGTCTACATTGCTGAGCGCATGTAATGCTTTTTGTGATGGATCAACTTGTCGCAAATGCGAAATTTAATATTCGCAAAAGTCATCAATAAGCCTTTTACATTGAGTAAGAATAATCAAATTAATATTGCATTTTGTTGGGTTTCATATTTTCGAGTTGGTTATTTATATTACAGCAGCTTCCCTGACTAATATTGCCCTTTGGTGTGCTCATAGTTATAACACTAAGATTCTGTGGTTGTCTCAATAGCTGTCTTATGTTATCCTCATTGGTTGCCTCCGACACAGTCTTTGCTTATCCATCTCAATTTCCCCCATAATCAATTTTACTGAGCTCCTGGAAAAGCAAACACCCTGGCATATAGCACTCCTCCGTTGATGTCCGTGTATATCTGGAGAGTAAGCAATAAGCCAAGCCAAGATCTATCCAAGCATACACCTGTCATAGCTCACACTCCATCCCCACCGGATTCTCTGCTCCCATTTTACGAACCACAACCACTTCGCATGTAACTTCAGCTTTACACATAAGTTCAGTTGCTCAAACATGAGGAGGACAGTTTTCCTTAGACACCCAATTCTCCATCTCTAACACCCACTGCCACTCCTACTCTCGCTCTCACTCCCGCTCTCACTTCCAATCCTCGATTTTCAACACCACCCACCACAGGCTCCTTTTGCCAGTGCGCACATATTTAAAGAGCAAACGTTTATCTAAGTTGTACCGTTGCGGTTTCCGTTGACATTCAAATGCGGAAGCACCTGTCGCCCAGCCGAAGGAACCTGGTGACTACGACTCAAAGATGTTCCACTCAGGACAGTCGGCACGGATGGGGAGTTACGATGGGCGGGGGGTTGGCATCCACTTCCGATTTCACACGCATACGAGCAGGGACATGAGCACTAGATGTTCCGAGGGTGGGTTGTGCAGTATTTACTTTAATTAAGTAATAATATCTTAAATATTATTTATTCTAATGTATGGCAGTGGGAACTGTTAGATATTTAAGATCTTTCATACAGAACTATAGGTGGTAGGAGAGGACGACTTTGAAGTGAAGCTCAAAATAAGTAAGTTTAACAGTTCCTTACCTAAAGTCATTAAAGCATACTGAAAAGTAACAATAAAAGTAATATATGTTGCTAGGCGGCTTGCTAAGCATAGAAAATCAAAAGGCAGCACAGATTTACCCAGTAACTTTGCCTGTGAAATGAACTACCACTACCAACCTCGGGCTGTACGTTGCCGGATATATACTCCGCTGGGCATACACGACAAGTTTCTCTAGATCCCACGGGCATACCTGGCTGCGAACCCCTCGAGGACTTTGCCACTTTGTAGTTGCTTTTGAATTCTCAAGTGTCTGCGTCGACGACGTCGTCAACTTTAAATGGTTTCGCTTACACCTCCAGCATGCCATTGAACAAATTAATTACTCGACAACTTTACAAGCGTTCCAATGGCAGAGGCACTAGTACCAGTACCAGTACCACTACCAGGACCAGAACCGCAAGTAGTGGAATCCCTTGCTTCGTCCCGCAGAATCGTGGTTTCCTTCTGCTCAAGCGGCTGCTCATTAGAGTGGTGCATATTGTTGGAAAGTCGCCATCATCATCATCATCATCGCCATTGCCATCACCATCGCCATCGCACATCCTGGACGAGGAAAAAGGGTGCACACGCATTTTCGATTGCTGAGCTCATTAATAATGGGCTCTGGTGCGATCCTGGCCATGTATTTGTGCGCAATGTGAGTTATGCTCCACGCCGGCCATTGGCCAACAAAACAGCCAAAATGGGCATTATTATAGCGATGGCATGGCGTAAAGTCACGAAGTTACTTTGTGTATCTGCGTCATTAAGTTTGTAGTGCAAAAATTACTCCCACACTTCACAATGAAAGGAACGTTCATTTTGTAAAGTTAATAAGTCTCTGCGATTAATCAGTCATAGAAAGATTTTATATAATTTAAAATAGGTTTCTCAAGAATACCAGGATTTTCTAGACTATAGATAGAGCATCAGGATAAGAATCACGGTGCCATCTCTGAAATTATTACAATGCAGCTGTCTAAATGGCCATACATACTGCTTCTTCGCCGCTGCTATTGCAGTTAGTCGCCTCCTCCGATTTTGGCTGCGCTCCCGTTTCGCATAGCCGGAAATTGGAAAAGTGTTGCTTTATGCGCAGCTAGAATGGGGATTTGGAAAAGGGGAAACTGTGGCTGGTACTTGGTAGGGGAGTCTCTTTAGTCACTTTATGTACGCGCCGCCCAGTGGAGGCGGTGTACTCCGGAGTACTGGCCATTGTTCTGGTCAAAAAAGA